AGTTATTTAGACATGATAATAAAACATAAAATTTAAATATATATTTATATGTATATGTGTATATGTGAATTTTGCATTGTTTTAATTTGTTAAAGGGAGGTAATGTTATCGGAAAACAGTATTAAAAATAGATATTATGTTTAAGTTATAAGACCATAAAGTTAACCACAAAGAGCAGCCAGTCGTTTCAATGTGTTTACATAAAGTACATTAATAAACCACAGGCATTTATAAATTTAAATGTAGTATTTTAAGTGCATAGATTTAAACGTTAGTCAATTTTCGTTTTATAAAATTTTAATGTTTTCAAGGGATCCCTCTAGAGGTTAATTTTTTTTTTTTTTTAGGTGGTGTGGGTCCGAGTCCCGCCGGGGATAAAAAAATATTTTTTTCTCGTGTCAAATCATTCTTCATTCAGAAAATAAGAAGAAAAAAAAATTTTTTTTAAAGGTGCCATTATGTGCGGTGTCTATTAATTTTTTTTATTTTTCCGGGTCGCGGGTTCGAATCATGCCGGGGGATAAAAATTTTTTTTTTAAAAAGTAGGTTATAAAAAAAGGGGGTATAACTGGAAATTATTTTTTTATTTTTTTAGGGTGGGGGAGAGGATCAATAAACTATATTACTTGTAGTCAGGAAACATAATGACTTATTATGTGGCATTATTTATCATTTTAGATATTGATTTGTTGTTGAATTAAATTATGTATTTTAAAGTGTTTTTTCCAAACTGTGATATGTAAGGAGCAAATGGTTAAGTGACTGGCACTATTACAACTATGACTAGACTGCAGCCTTTATGATGGCAAACATAAGACTTCTTGCACCCCTCACTACAATATTATAGGCACAGTTATATAGATAAAAGCACAGGTCTTCTGTAACCTAAAGATGAATGTATATTTATCCTCTATGCTCTTGAAACAATGACTCTTGATGCAAACTAACAAATGCCAGGTGTAATTTTTTCTATGGCAGAGTTACAATGACTTTAACCCCTCTGCCATGGAATCCTTATATATTTAAGAGTATTGGTAGGGGCCTGGCAACACATACATGTAATTAAATTATATAAATTTAAAGTCATTCTTTCTTTTGTATTTCTAGAACAAGTGAAGGATTACAGTTTATAAAGAGTGAGATATCTCGATTAAGAGACAAGATATCTGATGGGTGTAAGAGTGGGAATGTTTCCTCGGCCTTGTCTTCATACTATGAGAAAATAGGAAATCTCAGTCTTGCTATAATGCATTTAGAATCTACTAGAGACAAAAACCCACAAGGTATTACACTTTTCTTCCTTAATGATACAATCTGTACTTGTGATGTTGCTATAGATTATGTGTGTATGTGCAATAGTTATATTTAGTGCTCATTCACTCTTTATTTGATCATAATACAATGTATATGTCTCACTTTAATTCTACCTAAAGAAACTTGAAAAATTTTCAAGAATAACTCTGTATTCATTTTATGGTGTGTCACACAGTGTACTTTTGCAATATGTAAAAGTCAATGTAACATTTAATTAGCATATCTTACATAATCTCATTGAACATATATGAAATAACTGTTTCCAATTGACATAGTCTCAATGTGTATGTATGACAACTGTTTTAAACTGAAATGAAATCCATGTGCATATATGATTAAACTGTTTAAAACTGACAAGGTCTCAAAGTGCATATATGATATAATTGTTCTTTTTTTTAAAGGGTATGTAAATAAAAAAGTAAATTTAAGACTTTGAATAAAATGTTCTACAGCAGAGACAACTAATATAGCACAAGACCTTTGAAGCATTGATATATTTATGCAAGGTTTTATTTATTTTTATATTGAAGACAAAGAGATAGAGTGGCGTTTAAAGCGTATAAAGAGAGCGAAACATTACAGACAACAGCAAGAAGAAGCTCTGTGTAGATTTGACTACAGTTCCTCTTCAGCACTATCATTACCAGCAACTAAACAGGTTATTATTTCTTCTTCAACTATTAAATAAAATTAATTAACCTTTTGATTGCAATTTATTCTAGCATAAAAATATTTTACAAAGCACTTCAGAGGAATGGAAATTTATGAATAGAAATATTCTTGATTTGTTAGCTGGTTTTGTTTATTTTATATGTCTCATATTTAAATCTTAACTTTTCATTACTGATAGAGAAGAAGATATAAACAATGCAGCGGCTTTTCATTTTCCCAAAAAGTGTGTGTGTTTTTCTTTTTTCATTTTTGATAAAAGATTGTGTTTCATTTTTATTTTCTAATGCTTTTGCAGTGCAAGTAAATGGATCAAGGGAAATTTGATATTAACTGTGTACACATTCTTTATATATTTTTATAATATTTTTTTCAGGTGGAAAGGTTGTCTGCAGATAATTTGTCATATAAGGATTTTTTCTACAAATATGCTTTAACAAGTACCCCAGTTGTGATAACAGGTCTAGTGAATGAGATGACAACTGTACCCTGGACACTAGAACATATAGCAGATATTGCTGGTATATTTATAACTTTTTCTTTTAATCCAGTAAACAGTGAGCATAGAAAGAAATAAAGGTCATAAATTTAGTTTTTAACCAGCTGGAACAGAAAGTGACTTGGTATCTTATTCCAGAGGTTTGTAAGATAACTAATGTCATTATTTGCTACTACTTTTTCAAAAATGAATTAGAAGGAGAAGTTAGCAATTGCTGCTTTAAAACATAGTTGGTGTGGGAATAGGAATTATAAGCACATTCGATGGATAACTGCCGACTAGTGAATTTCTAAAATACTGTTAAAACTATAACAAAAACCCAACAAAAAAGTGCTTTATTTTCAGCATTTTTGTGTCGCCTTGAAAAAGGCGACATATAGGGGTTACTTTTGTCGGCGGCGTCGTTGTCATCGATGGCGTCGCTGTCGTTGTCGCGCGTCCCCTAAAGCTTGTCCGGAGCATAAGTCAGTCATTATAAGTCGGATTTACTTCAAACTTGGTATGCATGCTTCTCATAATGACTCGAAGTGCAATGCACAAGAACCGGTACTCTGTACTTCTTATTTTTTGAGTTATTGCCCTTTGTTTATTTTCATACTTTATTTTTGTCCGGGCCATTTCTCCTTAAGTATAAAATCTATGGACTTGAAACTTCATAGGATGATAGATCTCATTAAGAAGAAGTGCAGTGCACAAGAACTGGTACTCTGCATTTCTTATTTTTTGAGTTATTGCCCTTTGTTAATTTTCATACATTATTTTTGTCCAGGCCATTTCTCCTAAAGTATAAAAGCTATGGACTTGAAACTTCATAGGATGATAGATCTCATTCCGAAGAATGGCAGTGCACAAGAACTGGTACTCTGCATTTCTTATTTTTTGAGTTATTGCACTTTGTTAATTTTCATACTTTATTTTTGTCCAGGCCTTTTCTCCTAAAGTATAAAAGCTATCGACATGAAACTTCATAGGATGATAGATCTCATTAAGAAGAAGTGCAGTGCCCAAGAACTGGTACTCTGCATTTCTTATTTTTTGAGATATTACCCTTTGTTAATTTTCATACTTTATTTTTGTCCAGGTCCAGGCCATTTCTCATAAATTATAAAAGCTTTAGACTTGAAACTTAATAGGATGATAGATCTTATTGATATGAAGTGCAGTGCACAGAAACTGCTGATCTGCATTTCTTATTTTTTGAGTTATTGCCCTTTGTTAATTTTTATACTTTATTTTTGTCCAGGCCATTTCTCATAAATTATAAAAGCTTTAGACTTGAAACTTAATAGGATGATAGATTTTATTGATAAGAAGTGCAGTGCACAGACACTGCTGATCTGCATTTCTTATCTTTTGAGTTATTGCCCTTTGTTGATTTTCAAATTTCATTTTTGTCTTTGCCATTTCTCTTAAACTATATTGTTCACAAGGCGACACATCCGACTCGCGGAGTTCTAGTTATAATTCTATTCTTTGTAACCTAGGTGACTGTTCAGTTACACTAAAGAAATTTGTGAAGGACTCTGTGCAATGGGCTCGTCTAGAAGATGCAACAACAATGAAAGTAAAGGAATTTATATCTAGTCTCCAAGACAACCATAAACATGATAATCTTTACTTGTTTGATTGGAATATACCTTTACATTGTCAACAGTTAGCAGCAGAATTAAAAATACCAAAATATTTTACAGGTAAGTGCAGCCTGTGCAGGTAAAAATTTCATTTAATTGTGGACTTCCCAAGACTTAGCTTTCTGATAATATTTTATTTTAAAGCTATATGTAGATAGATCACATGTCATGAACCAACTTCTTTCCGTTCCCACATCAAGTGTGAAATGAAAAATGCCCAGTCTTCATTCATGCTGCTTGTATATAGGAAGATATGTAATGTGACCTTTGTTTGTATTTATAGGTGATTTTCTGCAGCGTACTACTCAGGGCTCTCTGTACAAAGACAGTTGGCCTAGTCTATTTATAGCACCACAGGGATTAGTCAGTGAACTTCATATGGATGCATTTGGTTCTAACTTTTGGATGGCTCTGTTTAAAGGCAGTAAAAGGTAAAAATCTGAAAAGAACTTCTCTGATTTTTTTTGTTTTAAATACTTTCAAATTGTTTTCCTAAAACTGGACTTCAGCCTGAAGTGTATAAAAGTCTGTAATAAAAATTATGGATATCTAATGTTGAATGACTATATGATAATAAAAACCTGTTTTGTTTTACAAATTTCTACTAAAATTGTCTCAAGTATAGTTCTGATGAAATATGAATTTTTTTAATTCTTCATAAATCAATTACTGGAAAACTATGCAATAGATAATATATAAATATACTTGGCATAAATTTGATTCTAACTGAAACAATTTTTTAAGCGATTTTGTTTGGTAAAAATGTGTGAAAAGCGTTACAGCCCTTTTCAATTTGATTTTAATTTCGAGTCTATTTTAGCAATAAAATCGAATTTCCTTCAGTGAATAATCTGATATATAAGTTACTGGTCCAGACCAACTTCCAGTTGAAAGATTATTTTTCGGTCCCTTCATGTAAAAAAAAAAATGCAGTAAAATATGAAAGTTTTTAAACACATTATTTTGCAGATGGGTATTTTTTGACAAGGAGGATGTGGCTTTGTTGTATCCAGTGTTTGGTAATCCTTGGTCAACAGATCCAGTATTTGAGGTTGACCTGCAGAAACCTGATCTCAAACACCACCCACTTCTGTCCTTAACTCAACCTATAGAATGTATACTTCAGCCAGGTTGGTTAAAATCTGTTCATCTAGTTTTTTCCATAACAACTTTTTTTTCCATGAGATACTTTTAGATTTGTTAATTTTTTTTCATTGGCCAATATAAGTGAAGATTGACTGGCAGATGACTCAGGTATAGTGAATACTTTGAAAAAAGGCACAACAGAAGATGACTTGGTGTCATATTATTTTCTTTTAATTGCAAAAGTTGGGAAAATATACTTGTATAAATACACACTTTAGGCAGTCATCAAAATGTTTTTTATTTCCCTGGACATGTATAGACAATTTTTTTTATTCGCTTAAAATGTTTTTGTTTTTCGCTTAAAATGTTTTTGTTTTCATATTCTAACAACATGCCAAGTTTAAAGGAATTCTATTGAACAGTTTTAATTTTGCCTTTATGTCTATATGAAAACTCCCGAAAACGTCTTTAATAGCAACTTATTGCACCTTAAGGGCTACTTAATGCTCTAAAAGCATTATTTAAACATTATAAAACTTGCTCTTTTTAAAGAAGGAAAACTTTATTCATTTCTGAGGCATAATGTGCCTTTAACAATTTGTTAATTATTTCAGGGGAGCTGTTATTTGTACCAGCTGGCTGTCCACATAGAGTGGAGAATCTTGAAACGTCTCTTGCAATCTCAGGAAATTATGTTGACCTTTCAAACTTTGACCTTGTTAAAGAGGAATTAAAGGTTACATCATTAATTGATGAAAGGTCATCTGAACTTCTCAAGCAGTTTAGTGATCCAGATTTTAAATCAAACATGTGTAGTGACATTGATCATTTATGTTGGGAAAAGTTTAAGAGTTGGACGGCAGAAGATTATGAAAAATTTGATATTACACCAGAAATTGTTCAAACAGAAAGAGACAGGTTGTTGAATAAATGATTTTATATACATTTGTGGTTTTGCCTTACTTCTATTACCTTATTTTGGTAATGTTTAAATTCAAACTGTGATATTTTAACTTAACTGGAGTGGTTTTTGAGACCTGCCAAGCGCTCAACATTATTTCAGCCATAAACAGCATGGGTACATGAATTCTGGCATTTGCCAGAAGTTCAGGTTTTATTCTACATCTGAAATATCTCTTTTTCTGGATGAAACTAAATGTTATAATACTAAATTCAGGCTTTTCAGGTTTCCAACTTGCACCCATGTTGCTTGGGCATAGCCACTAACCTTCCATTAGTTAAATCTTTATCTTCAAACTTTATTCTCTTAAGCAGGATTTAAATCCAAAGCTTATGAAGGGAAGTGATTCTTGAACATTTTACTTTTCTCAGTCAGAGTTTCTGATTAGCTTCGACCTTTTCCAAATGATGCAAATTTTTTGAATCTTGTACATGTATATATTTTTTCAATTCAGCCAATGAATTTTACAGTTAATTGCTCTTTATACCATTGACAGAACCTAATGGTAATGACTGAATCTGCTTACTGTATTAATCAATGAAGGGTACATAACACATGTACCTGGGTTACCAAAGATACTTTCTACATGCATTAACAAAACTTGTGTAAACAAATTTAAAAAACAAGTCAAACAATTAGATAAATAGATTTTATTTTGAGAAATATAAAGCATGATTGTCAGCTGTTTTAATCAACAAATGAAGAATGAGCGTACTAACATGAAAAAGATTTGACACATCATTAATTCTACTATTTCACAATATACAGCAGATATACTTTATGAAATATATACAGTCAAACCTATGTAAATAGAGCAAAGAATGGACCAAATATGGCCTTTATAGACCAGTGGTCTTAATTTTAAGGCTACTCTGTTCTATCTTACCTATGAAGGATTGACGAAAAATGGCCTTTATTTACAGGGAAACATTTATTCAGAGGTGGTCTTTAACATATGTTTGACTGTAAATATTCTAGTATCAATCTTGCAGGAAAACATGTATGTACAATGAAAATGTGTATACAGTTCCGCTCAAGCTCTTATCTTTTATTATTTCTTTGCAGTCAGCAATGGATACAAATTTAATTTTTGTTATTTTCTTGTCAAGACTTACATAAGTTATCTCATTTTGAAACCAAAATAAACACCAAATTTCAGTCATAGTAATTAAAACTAATAACTGCCAATAACTTAATCTATTACTGTGACGGTGGAAGCCATAAAAATCAACAATATAAAAAAAGCATTCTAAGTAAAAAATATCAATTTTTATACAATACAATATTTCTTTATTTAGTCAAGATTACATATTATGTAACAAGAGACAATTTTTAATTGACAAATATCAATATTGGTAAGGACAATTTTATAAATGATCGACTGAATAGCATTAAATAGTGTAAAATTGTTTGAGCATTTTTGCGTTGTATTTACAATTCTAACACTATCGGATTTTTTTCTATATTTAATACACTTGTTACTATATATAGTAACAAAATTGCCTATGATTTCAACTAATTATGAGTGTCACGTGACCTATTATGAGTTTGCGGCCCGGGGCCGAGAACTAGTTATCAGCCCGCAGAACATGTGCACGTGCACAAACTGAAACAATGACGTCATATTTTACGTCATCAAACAGTTAACTGTAAAAGTGAAAGTAGGTTGTCAGCAAGAATCGCTTTATTTTTATTATGAGAGCTTAAGCGTATTTAGTACAAACACTTTTTTGTTACTATTGAAATTTGAAGAAATAATACGACAAATTCATTCCGAAAAAAAATGAAAATAAAACTTGCTTCTAGATTCTACTGCTTTGAACACACAAACAGTAAACATCTCTGTACAGAACCAAGAATTTCAACGAAAGAACTTTGTTGTTGTTTTATTTTTGTTTTAAAAAAGATCTATTAGATCTACCAAGTGTATTAAAGACATTAATACACGTCAGAGTAGGGCCGGAAGGTGATAATCGGCCCTGAATGAATAATGGCCCTCGGGCTAAAGCCCTCGGGTCCATTATTCATTTTGCGGGCCGATTATCACCTTCCGGCCCTCTCCTGCCGTGTATTAACCTCTTAATACAAAGAAGGCCCGAAGCGTGCATTATTGTACAACAATGCACTCGCCGTTCTTATTATCTCCCTGTGTATTTTCGCATTATGGGCGCCATTTTGTTTGAAAAATCTGATATATAAAACAATTTTTTGTCGAATTTTGTTGTGAAAACTATCTAGAATGAAAGAAAATGGTCTAACTAAGAAAATGAATCCGAACACTAATATCTTTAATTCAGTCGTTAACGCTGTACAGACGTTTAGTGTTGTTTACGTGACGTCACAATGTAGCGCCAAACAGCACGTGCAAAACAATCAAATCAAGTACGGTATTTTAGTGTCGCAAACGAGTTAAGTTTTACATTTATTTCACTTTTAATAATTTGAATTTCCCTTGAAAAATTATAGAGTGAAATAAAATAAACAAACAAAGTTTTATCAACGTTTTCAAAATGCGTTATTCTCTAATGTTTCGACACATTGTAGATTTAATGACAATTTTTTTTCAACCCACTGGAACAGCCTTTGAAAGAACGTTTCTATTGGAAACTCTGATACGAAAACAAATTTAACCATCAAACATAAAGTCCAATTTTATGATAATACAATGTAATTATATTTTTTCTTGACGTGTTAGAATAGAAATAGATATTAATTCTTCGTGCATTATTATATAATAATGCACGTTTTTCGTTCAAATGCTTTGTAATTAATCACTCAGGCCTATCGGCCTTCGTGATTATATTACTACGCATTTGAACTCAAACCGTGCATTATTCTACAACAATGCACTCAAAATTGATATCTATTTCCTAATTAGACAAAAGATACCAATTTTGAGTGCATTGTTGTAGAATAATGCATGGTTCAAGTTCAAATGTGCAGGAATATATAATCATGAAGACCAACAGGGTTCAGTGATAAATTTCAAAGCATTTGACCGATAAACTGTGTATTCATTATACTAAAATGCATGAAAAATTAGTATCTATTTCTATTCTAACATGCTAATAAAAAGGGAATTGATAAAAACATGTTGAACTACATGGAGCGTAGAAGTAATTTTCCTGACAGCATTTGGTTTATTAACATCATATGATGTGTAAACATCGTTTTTTATGATGTACTTATACATGTATCATGTAATGCACTTGACTGCCCTATATCTTTGATCAGGGAATACACCCATTGACAGTCTCTATATGAACTACGTAAATAACCGAGGTATACCAAGTGAAAAAACACAAGTTCTTTCCCTTATCTTCGAGTATCTTCATCTCAGTATGTATTTCAACACATTGTTTGACACTGAAGGTATTTAAATTAATAGTGAAACGACCATTTTACATATGTTTTATACAGTGAGATACGCATTGAATCGGTTATCTTTACTTGCAGTTCTACTGATAAGAATAGCCTGTCATCTGCTAGTTCGGAAACTGTCAATCCGTGTATTGTGTGAAGCATGTTAGAATATACAATTTAATTCTCAGTACAAATCTATTATAGCAGTTCTGTACTATACAATGTAATAAAATAAAAGCTAAACAGTAACAATTTTTATATAATAATCTATATTCTTGCATAAAAACTGTAAATGTCTTTATAAATTAACAGAAAAGAAAATATGCATTAACGGAAAAAATCCTTTGACCATGTGCAGTTGTTGCACGTCTTTTAATGTGTGTGGCTCGGGCTGAAATGTGAAAACAGTTTGATGCCCCGACGTTTTATTATCAAACAGAATCACACTAACAGGTGGAAAGAATAGTACAATCCTTGATTTCTTTATACAACAAGATTGCATTTGAGAAAAATGCTATGCCACCGCATGGTTCAAATTTCATAGCTGTACATCAAAGGACAAGAAAGTAGGTCACATCTTCAAAATCTAGGTCACCTGATATCAAAGTTCAATTTTACAACTAAAACTGTGCACATGGTCAAAATGTCGTTACTGTACATCAAAGGACAAGAAAGTAGGTCACTGTCCCCTTGGGCAAGGCATAATTTTGGACCAAGGGTTTAATTCAAAACAATTTTGATACAGGTCCACCAAAACAACATTTCAAGTCAAATATCTAAGCTATAGCTTTCTCCCATTCAGAAAACATTTGTTTTATTTTCTGTTTTTACTATGTGTACATAATGAGAATCACTGCCCCGGGGCAGGGCCAATTTTGACACCAGGGAAAAAATTTGAACAACTTTGGTAGAGGACCTATAAATGATATTACATATCAAACATCAAAGCTCTATGCCTTGTACCTTCAGACAAAAATATTTTTTTATTTTTTCACTATATGTACATAATGAAAATCAATGACCCCCGGGGCGGAACCAATTTTGACCCCAGGGCTATAATATGAAAAATTTGCAAGAGGTTCACTACACAATGATTCATGCAAAATATCTTAACTCTAGCCTTTGTAAATTTAGAGAAGATGATTTTTTAAGTTTTTACTATATACATATAAGGAAAACCTATGGCCCCCGTGGGGCAGGGCTAATTTTGACACAAGAGGCAAAATTTGAATAACTTTTGTAGAGTACCTTTAGATGATATTATTTAACAAATATTAAAGCTCTAAGCCTTGTACCTTCAGACAATAAGATTTTTTTATTTTTTACTATATGTATATATTGAAATCCATGACCCCCAGGGCGGGGGCAATTTTGACCCCAGGGCTATAATTTGAACAATCTTGCTAGTAGTTTACTACACAATGTTTCATGCAAAATATCTTACCTCTAGCATTTGTCATTTGCTAGAAGAATTTTTTTTGAAGTTTTTACTATAAGTTTTTACTATATACATATAAGAAAAACCAATGACCCCCGGGGCGGGGCCGATTTTGACCCCAGGGCTATTATTTGAACAATCTGGGTAGAGGTCTACCAGACAATGCCTTATGCAAAATATCTAAGCTCTAGGCCTTTTGGGTCTTTAAAGTTTTTACTATATGTACATATAGTGAAAATCAATGACCCCGGGGCGGGGCCGATTTTGACCCAAGGGCTATAATTTGAACAATCTTGGTAAGGGTCTACCAGACGATGCCTTATGCAAAATATCTAAGCTCTAATCCTTTTGGGTTTTTACAAGAAGGTATTTTAAGTTTTTACTATATGTACATAGTGAAAATCAATGACCCCCGGGGCGGGGCCAATTTTGACCCCAGGGCTATAATTTGAACAATCGTGTTAGAGGTCTACCAGACAATGCCATATGTAAAATATCTAAGCTCTAGGCCTTTTGGGTCTTTACAAGAAGATTTTTTTAATTTATTCTTATAATTCCTTTCGGTTGCCATGGCAACCAGATTTCTGCATAGAATGAAATTCTTTGAACAACTTTGGAAGTTCTTCACCCAAGGAACAATTCTGCCAAGTTTGGTTGAAATTGGACTAGTGGTTTTTCACAAGAAGATTTTTTAAGTTCACTATATAATCTATATAACACACACACAAACACACACAGGTGAATCGCTATATGCCACCGCATCGCAGATGCTGCGGTGGTATGCCACCGCATCGCAGATGCTGCGGTGGCATAAAAAGCAAATAATGAAAGACTGTATTACCTATTTACGTGTACTTTGATGAAAGAATACCAATAATAAACCTTTGTTTCCCTGCAATAACATCTGCAGAAGCTCGAAGACTATTTAAATACCTTGCCCTGCAAGCTCAGGCTTTACATGCATGTTTATGCATCTGCAGATATTATAATGCATGAAAAAAGCATTAACCCTCTATCATCATCTGTCAAATACATGTATATAGATATAAAGACAAGATTTACTTTTGTAGAAGGCCATCTTAGGATCATTCCTGCGAAATGTGGTCAAAATCCACAATATGATTTAAGAAATTGTTATTTAGATATCATGGAGAACGATGGACACATTGCCATCACAAAAGCTCACCTCTGAGCACTTTTTGCATAGGTGAGCTAAAAAAAACAACATTTCAATTTGTAAAAATATATAATACAATTTAAATAAAACAATACACAGTATATTTCAAAGAAATGAAAAGCCAGTTTTTTGATATACCATCCTGTAAAGATACAGTTTGCTTCTTGTTGATAACAAGCTAATGCAGATGATAAAACATTACAAAAATATATATATTTTTCTCTTGCATGCAAAAATAAGAAACAGTAAAGTACACTACAGAGAAAGATAGTGCATATTATTCCATAAATTATGGAATAATATGCACTATCTTTGTTAAAAATCCATACATGTATATACAATTATCACAGTTTTGCAGTAAGGAAATGAGATACAATATCACAGTTTAATTACTAAAATTACTTTTCAATGTAGTTTATATAAGTTTATTTCATGAGTTTATAAATTAAAGGATTCAAAGCTATACATGTATATTTGGCTGTCTAATCAGTAGAAAATTTGTTTGCATCTTGACAACAATCAAAGAATAATAATTGAAATGTGATGTTTGTAAATTCCCAATAAAGTGGTCGCCATATGCTTTAAATCATTGCTTAATCTTAATAAATCAATAGCAGTTGAATTTTTTATTAAAGAACATTATATTCAATGTCCTTGAATATTTTTGCTGCATGTTTAATAAGAGAGTCTTGTTCAAAACTCTCCTGATACGACCGTAAGAATATGAAAACACTGTCACTGTACAGACCATTCTCAATTCTTGTAACATACAATGTCTCCATAATTTAACACACACATATAAAAAAGAACTTTAATTAGTCAAAGTTGTAAGTACTTGCCTAAAAACTACAACATAAAAGGACTTCAACTCAAGCAACATCTGCTATGTTATCATATTGTTCTTTATGGACCATGTAAAAACTCATATTACTTGGACACATTGACAAACATGGACTAACATAAGTTCCACACGTAGAAAGTCTACTGTATATATACAAAAAAGAAAATTGTTTCATTGAGCGGATCTAGAATTATATACAAAAGGACTTGGACATCCAGTAAAATAAAATACAGTTATATTAAGGAGATTTCAGGAATGTTGCATAACTTGCTGTGTGGAAGCAGAATCAAGAAAATGTTTATAGAGATGTATAGTTAAAATAGTAGCGATCCGCAAACGTAGAGTCTCTGTGATAAACAGGTGAATAATTCTCTATTAGAGCATCTATTTCTTCCTGTATTGTATCAAATCTGTGTCCATTCTTCCTTGCTGAAATATATACAAACAATATCGTCCTTTTTTACCATGAACATAACATACCCAAAACCATTTGAGTATGATTAGAATAAATGAATTAATAAGAACTTCAGGGGCAAAGAGAAATATACATGTATAGTTGTACATAGTCAGTATTATCTTATCATGAAGTTCATATATTGTTTGTTTGTTTGTTTCATTTTACGCCTTTTCCCAACAGTATTTCAGTCATATAGGCTGGTAGTTTCCTAACCATCGTTCCTGGAGAGTTACACCTGTACTAGACTACATTCCTCCATGCTAAACTACCAAAGCATCTCCCGGGGATCAAACCCACGCCAGAAAGGTAACTGGATTAGAAGTCATCGACTCTAACCCTGGACCACGTAGACATATATACATGTATATACAGGTAAATGCCAAAGGGATTTGTAATATAAGTTCATTCTTTCATTCATTTATATCATTTGCTTGTTTGTTCATTCAATGATTCATTTATCATTCATAAAGGCCACTCCAACTTCATCCTTTACTAAATTACTAATAGTATACCTTAAGTAGTGTCAGAGTTATGTCTCGGACAAAGTTCGAAGTGTAAAAATGAACAAAGGGCAATAACTCCAAAATTAGTCAAGATAAAGTTAAGGTTCTTGTGCACTGCACATCTACCCTATGAGATCTTCTACTTCAAAGTTTCATGTTGATACCTCTTATTGTTTCAGTTACGTCCCGGACAAGAATAGTGGACAGACAAAGCAGCAACTATATGCACATCCTTCGGGGAGCATAAAAACATGTACATGTATTCTTATTTACCTTCGCCTACAAGAAAGTTAGCAGCATATTGTGCCACTCTTATTGCATCAGGACCATGGTTAATGTTATCCTGTATATTCCATATAAAGTTAGGTTTCTCTGGATGCCACTGTGTACCATAAATTGGGTAGTTAATTCCTGCAAGAATATAGTATATAACATTAAAAAGTTCACAGAATAAACAAGAGGGCCATGATGGCCCTGAGGTCGCTCACCTGTATATAGGCCCCACTTCCCCTCACCCCCCCCCCCCCCCCCCCGGCAGGGCCAATTTTAACCCAAGGGCTTTAATTTGAACAAACTTGGTAGACACACATAAGAAGATGTTTCATGCTCTACATCTAAGCTCTAGCTCATTGGGTTTTTTTTAAGAAGATTTTTCAAGTTTTTACTATACACATATAGTTAAAAACAATGACACCCCTGGGGCGGGGCCAGTTTTAACCCCAGGGCTTTTTTTTAAACAAACTTTGTCGACACTTACTAGAAGATGTTACATGCTTAATATCTAAACTCTAGCTATTTGGGTTTTTTTTGAAAGAAAATTTACAAGTTTTTGCTATACACATATAAGGAAAATCAATGACCCCCGGGGCGGGGCCAATCTTGTCCCGAGGGCTTTTATTTGAACAAACTTGGTAGCCACCCATTAGAACATGTTTCATGCTAAATATCTTAGCTCTAGCTCTTTTAGTTCTTTAAAATAAGATTTTTTAAGTTTTTACTATATGCATATAGGGAAAATCAATGACCCCCTGGGGCGGGGCCAATTTTGACCCCGGGGCTTTTATTTGAACAAACTTGGTAGACACTCATAAGAAGATGTTTCATGCTAAATATCTTAGCTCTAGCTTTTTGGGTTCTTTAAAAGAAGATTTTTTAAGTTTTTACTATATGCATATAGGGAAAATAAATGACCCCCTGGGGCGGGACCAAATTTGACCCCCGGGCTTTTATTTGAACAAACTTGATAGACACTCACTAGAAGATGTTTAATGCCAAATATCTAAGCTCTAGCTCTTAGGGTTTTTTAAAAGAATATATTTTAAGTTTTTTCTTTAGGTTGCCATGGCAACCAGAGTTCTGCATGGAATTAAATTCTTTGAACAATTTTTTAAATGACCACCAAAGGAACATTCCTGTGAAGTTTGGATGAAATTGGCTTAGTGGTTTATGAGGAGATGTTGGTTAAAGTAAAAGTTTACGGACAGACGGACGCCGGACGGACGCCAGACCAAAAGCGATCACAAAAGCTCACCCTGTCACTTTGTGACAGGTGAGCTAAAAAAACAATAGCTGGCCACTTTATACATGAAAAAGCAGCATTTCAACATTTCATGTCATTTTTTTCGCATACAAATGTATTAAGGATTGTGTTTAATATCAAAGCTATAAGTATAAACACTTAAAAAAAATTGAAGACTCTTATGAAGCTTGATAACCTTGTTGTTAGTAATTATTATGAAAAACCTTGGTGTTAGTTATTAAAAGAACATTTTATGATTGTGTTACAGTAAATCTGTAATTTATGTTTCAGTATTGTATATTCCGATAAGATTGGAATATACATGTATCTAACTGTAAATATGTGTGCAATGTAAATTTAAGTTATTTTGATAATAACATTGCAAAGTACTATTTTGTATATTTCAGAGATAATAAGATTAAGTCAAATATAAATTATGTATATTTCCCATTTCCCAACTAAACCTCAATTATGCATGTACATTTAATTTTATCTCTATAGCAAAACTTGTTTTCTTTTAAATGAGCCAAAATACTGAAATTTAATTATGTTTTATAGCTCTGTGAATTTTTCTACGGACAGATACTTGTATAATGACCAAATGGCCAGAGGAGAAGCTTTTCATATTTTGTTTTGTTTTTGTACCTTTAAAGTATGACCATCCTACTGTATTACCTCCGCTTTGAAGAGTTAGGCTAGAATTAATGTCAACTGGATTGAAACTTAGGGCCATGGGTTCAAACCCCAGAAGGGTCAACTTTTTCTTTCTTTCTTTTTTTCTTTTAACATTTTTTTTTTGTATCTCTCATTTCCCCTTTTGGAAAGAAAAGTGTTTAATTTTAATTAGAATCTATATAATAAATATAGGTATTTATTTTTTTTCTTCATACATTAATTTTCTATAACCAGCAGTAGAGAAAGAAAAGAGATAACTCACAATGTGTTTGTTAATTCATGTTTTCGGAGACAACTATTCAATAGGTGTTTATACACTTGTAGGAATTAAACACAAATAGACAGGACTTCAATTAAAATTTCATCCAAATGACTAGTAAATTTAGTTAATGTAGCAAAACTAGCAACCCTTGGGCTTGTAGTCATTGTAACTACTTTATTTGTTTTAGTCACAAATTAAGTTACAGACAACAAAAAAGAATATAACTTGATATCTGCTAGAACAATTAACATTAATGACAAAATTTTATATAGAGGATATTCATGTTTTTTCTATAAATACATGATTTATTTTCATCGAGTGGTATGAAAATAAATATTTCATGAGTGGCGGTAGCCACGAGTGAAATATGGTAATTTTCATGTCACAAGATGAAAATAAATCATGTATTTATAGAAAAAAACTTGAATTTTCTGTTTATTATATACATTTTTCTCTTTTTTGACATTAAAATTTGAAAAACTTTCCGTTAAATTTTGTTTACTGGCAGAATTTAAAAGAAAGTAGTCCGGCCAGACACCAGTGAAAATATGGAAAATATGTTTCACTGCAGTGAAAAATAAATTTTTACAGTGAAAATTCGGAAAATGAAAATACGCATTTTATTTTATCAATATTTCATTTATAAGTATATAATAAAATTTTATACTTTTTTTTTTTTAATGCGTTTATTTAAGGTCGCGGCCGGAAGGCCATATGGGCGACCGTACACTCAAGTCGAGCCATCCTAGAGCATCCCGCCGAGATTTTTCGTCGATTTTTTCCAGCTTTATTGGTGGAGGAAGACCCCAGGTTCCCCTGCGGGCATTATGTCGGGCACGAGCGGGCACCTGGATAGAACCACCGACTTTCCGTAAGCCAGCTGGATTGCTTCCTCACATAAAAGAATTCGACCCGAGTGAGGATCGAACCTACAGCGGGGGGGGACCTGTGATCTCTAGTCAGCGACCTTAACCACTCGGCCACGGAGGCCCCTTAATTTTATACATAACAAATGATAATACATGTATTGTTTGGTTTTATTAACCTGTCAATTACATACTGATTACACGGTCGATGCACACAGTATATTAATCTTCGGTAGATTTTTGGTAAGTTCCGTGAGATGTACGCTGTACGATGGAATTTAATTTAATTTGTATCTCTCAACAAAGTGTACTCAGCGTTATAGCGCAATAGGGTAAAGCACGAGCTTATACTCTAAGTGCCACACGTGTTTTAAGTTCGAGACCGCGTAGGTCTATGTTTTTATTTTCTTATTAATACTTTCAACAATATTGGAGCTATATATGATTATTTTATGTTGTTCGTTTTGTTTTATTATGTTTTACTTAATTTTGTTATATCTATATTCTTTTTAAATAACATGTTTTAAGAATTCATGTTTAAAATTAAAACGGATTTAAATCAATAAATGTCTTTTCAATGCTGTAAAACACACTACAAACTGTTCCATTAAAATATACGGCAAAAATAAAGAAAGAGTACTAAAACAATGGCAACAGCAAGGATCGAACCACAGACCTCTAAATTATCAGGCATTCTCTTAACCGACTGTACTATTCACATTAAGCTGGCGTGACTTTCAATCCATGACTAATATACTCCACATTAATTCTCGTAAACTACACGGACCAAACCGAAGTGGGATCGAATATTTAAATGAGTTCTATAATGTATGCATAATTGACAGGTCAATAAAATCAGACTATACTATTGGTTTTAAAATAGGCATTTTTTTCAATATAATGAAAACAATTGTAATAAAACTTGACATCACTCTTTAAGCTATGACCTTTTTCAAAATAGTTAAAAAAATGGGTCAAAGACAGAAAAGGCCGGGTTGCATTTGTACACCAAATATCATGAGGCTGTGATGTTACGAAAAAAAATTTCCATTGACCCATTAATGTCGAAAATTTAATTCAGTAGGTAAACAGGTAGTGGATTAGCTACACACCTAAAATCGAATCCCACAGTATGGGACCATGTGTCAATGCTGTATGCCAAATATCAAGAGGCTGTGATAAGTAGTTGCTGAGAAAACTGTTACGAAAATTTCCTACCATTGACCATTAATGTCGAAAAATCTAACTAATTTAACTAAGTGGATAAACAGGAAGTGGATGAGCGACAGACCTGAAATCAAATCCCACAGTATGGGACCATGTGTCAATGCTGTATGCCAAATATCAAGAGGCTGTGATAAGTAGTTGCTGAGAAAACTGTTACGAAAATTTCCTACCATTGACCATTAATGTCGAAAAATCTAACTAATTTAACTAAGTGGATAAACAGGAAGTGGATGAGCGACAGACCTGAAATCAAATCCCACAGTATTGGACCATGTGTCAATGCTGTATGCCAAATATCAAGAGGCTGTGATAAGTAGTTGCTGAGAAAACTGTTACGAAAATTTCCTACCATTGACCATTAATGTCAAAAAATCTAACTAATTTAACTAAGTGGATAAACAGGAAGTGGATGAGCGACAGACCTGAAATCGAATCCCACAGTATGGGACCATGTATCAATGCTGTATGCCAAATATCAAGAGGCTGTGATAAGTAGTTGCTGAGAAAACTGTTACGAAAATTTCCTACCATTGATGTTGAAAAATCTAACTAAGTGGATAAACAGGAAGTGGATGAGCGACAGACCTGAAATCGAATCCAACAGTATGGGACCATGTGTCAATGCTGTATGCCAAATATCAAGAGGCTGTGATAAGTAGTTGCTGAGAAAACTGTTACGAAAATTTCCTACCATTGACCATTAATGTCAAAAAATCTAACTAATTTAACTAAGTGGATAAACAGGAAGTGGATGAGTAATTTAACTAAGTGGATAAACAGGAAGTGGATGAGCGACAGACCTGAAATCGAATCCCACGGTATGGGACCATGTGTCAATGCTGTATGCCAATTATCAAGAGGCTGTGATAAGTAGTTGCTGAGAAAACTGTTACGAAAATTTCCTACCATTGACCATTAATGCAAAAAAATCTAACTAATTTAATTAAGTGGATAAACAGGAAGTGGATGAGCGACAGACCTGAAATCAAATCCCACGGTATGGGACCATGTGTTAATGCTGTACACCAAATATCAAGAGGCTGTGATAATTAGTTGCTGAGAAAACTGTTACGAAAATATTTTCCCCGTCCGCTTACCACCCGACATTCACCATACTATAACCCGGGTTTGCACCTGTGCAACCCAGCCAACTAGAAATGTGTCCATAGGACACGGATGCCCCCACACGCCACTGTTCTGTCAATCTTATGACTCTAGGTCAAATATTTTTTGGACTTCATGTGCCACAAGTTGAAAACTAAAAATCAACAAAGGGCCATAATTCTGTTGAATTTGGTTGCAGCAAAAATGCCTTTCTTTACTACCATCTACACATTAATGTTGTTCATCCCTGTAAGTTTAAGCAAAATCTGCCATCCGGTTTAAGAGGAGTTGCGTTCACAAAATTTCTACATAGTATATAGTGAAAAAATCAACAAAGGGCTATAATTCTGTTAAATTTGGTCGCAGCAAAAATTCCTTCCTTTACTACCATCTACACCTGAAAGTTGTTCATCCCTGTAAGTTTAAGCAAAATCTGCCATCCGGTTTAAGAGGAGTTGCGTTCACAAAATTTCTACATAGTATATAGTGAAAAAATCAACAAAGGGCCATAATTCTGTTAAATTTGGTCGCAGCAAAAATTCCTCCCTTTACTGCCATCTACACATTAAGGTTGTTCACTCCTGGAAGTTTAAGCAAAATCTGCCATCCGGTTTAAGAGGAGTTGCGTTCACAAAATTTCTACATAGTATATAGTGAAAAAATCAACAAAGGGCCATAATTCTCTTAAATTTGGTCGCAGCTAAAATTCCTTCCTTTACTACCATCTACACATTAAGGTTGTTCATCCCTGGAAGTTTAAGCAAAATCTGCCAACCGGTTTAGGAGGAGTTGCGTTCACAAAATTTCTACATAGTATATAGTGAAAAAATTAACAAAAGGCCATAATTCTGTTAAATTTGGCTGCAGCAAAAATTCCTCCCTTTACTACCATCTACACATTAAGGTTGTTCATCCCTGGAAGTTTAAGCAAAATCTGCCATCCGGTTTAAGAGGAGTTGCATTTACAAAATTTCTACATAGTATATAGTGAAAAAATCAACAAAGGGCCATAATTCTGTTAAATTTGGTCGCAGCAAAAATTCCTTCCTTTACTACCATCTACACATTAAGGTTGTTCATCCCTGGAAGTTTAAGCAAAATCTACCAACCGGTTTAAGAGGAGTTGCGTTCACAAGATTTCGGGACGTACGGACAGACGTACGGACAAGTGCAACGCTATATGCTCCCACTCTGTGGGGGCATAAAAAAGAAAGAAAGTACATGTACCGTAATAAAAATCAGTTCAAGGGAGGTAATAAAACTTAGTTTAAAAAGGGAGGTAATAAAGATCATAATCTTGACAAAAAATTAAAAGCTGACTAGATAATAACAATATTTATACACACCTTCAATTGTTGAAACAAACTCCTTGCCATTTCTATCAACATTTGTAGACAAAATTCTAAAATATTTTGTTAAATCTACTGAAAACTGAAAATCAGTGGGTGTGATACCATAGTGATGGTAGTTTGTAGTCACATTTTCTTTTGAAAGGTAATGAAAAACATCGTCTGGAAGGTTTCCATATAGTCTGCTGTCTTTGTAACCTAGAAATTACAGAGAAAATCCAATATACTAATCTATATGTCTACAAAGCAGCCCTAATCCATATAAAAAATAAGCTAGAGTCACACTATAAATAAAAACAGTCTGGTTAGCTCTTTATGTAAAGCATTTGACTGTGAATCGGGATTTGAGTTCGATTTCAATTGTGGCTGATCATGAAATCTTTTCTATGGTCATTCGCACTGTACCTGTGCCTGTCTTGTACAAAAGTTATAACTTCCACGGAAAGTAACTATAGGCAACTAGTACTGGTAAACTGCCTGACAGCCTTCCCAGGAACCATGAGTTGGCTGAACTGTGCTCTGGTGAATTAATATTGGCTTAAATATCCAAACTGAGAGGGTATACTACCAACACTAACCCAACCTTCCACTGTAACTTGTAGTTTGGACAAACATTGCAATTATTATCTTTTTGTTTTTGGATCCCATAGTATGACCTGCTCAACATATAGTATGACCTGATAAACCAATGTGATTCTCGGGTGTGAAACACTGTCTCTTAATTACACAAACATTTATGCTGCTATCCAATGCTAAGCTACAACAGTGACTCAGAAGAACTTCCACACACACAAAGTCATGTAAAAACTACACTTCCTTAGAGTCAAACTCACTTCAAGAAAAACTCACCATCAGAAAAGTTGAGAGGCAGCATCAAGTTTTCAGCATCAAACTCAGTCATTAAATCCTTCCCTGTAGCCAATGCTGTTAACAGCTGGAATCCCAGACATGTTCCCCATAAAGGAAAATAGTCACCATTTTGATTGGCCTGTTAAAAAAAACTGTGTTATTACATACAGTATCTTACTTTGTGGAAACAACCTTTTTTTATTATCTTGCATAAAACTGGTTTATTACAAACAAAATACAAACAGGAAGTTGGAACTTATATATACAAGAGGTTCAAACAAGAACACTGAGGGCATAATACAAGTTACGTGTTATGTGCTGTAAAATTTTTAACATTCCAACGCATCAATAAAAAGATTTTAAGCGTGCTTATGATAATGTCATTCAACCTTAATGAATGAAGTTTTAAATTCACATGCGATACAGTATATATACCGTATGTATATATAAAAATGCTTAATAAAAATATGTCTCTATAACATCCTTTTTTACAAACAACATGTATAATTACTACAAATAATAATCTATCAGAAATGGGAATATCTGGCTGCAGAGCCTTAATCACAGATGGGAAAATCTGGCTCTCATGTAATTATATATAGTAGAAAAGTAATTATACAGGTATATAGTAGAAATTAGGAGAACCCATAGTCACTACTGCCTTTAAGCCAGACCTTACAGTCTGTAGCAGCATCTGATGTAGGATTCTTTTATTGTTTAGGATTTCTATCTTTATAAATTAACCTGAATTCAAGTGGCAAAATGGAAGTTGATGGTCACCTGTATAGAGACAAGCCAGTAGGTATATGTCTGATAAACTTTATACCGTCAAATATTGAACTACGTGAATTCTAGTTGTTTTGACATTTACATATCAAAGACGTGTTAAATAATGTTTAAAAAATGGATTTAGAGCATGTTAAATTTTAACAGCTTAAGAAGTTGCACTGAACATGCAGAGCATCACAGATGGGAAAATCTGGCTCTCTGTTGAGTCCTCATTACAATCATTGTTAAGTTAGCAAAATGTAAACACAGACGTATTTTGACTTCCATACAAAATACAAATTCAGTATAATTATACTTAGTGCCAACAGAGCTAAAGATGCAAAAGATAATTCAGGTTGTCAAACTGTAACAAGATGTATAAAAAACAAGCAATTATCATAGTATTGCAAGCAATCCATAAGTCCCCTACCGGTTAGAACCTCAGCAACATTCTGAAGGGCCATTGGCCATTCACTTATGTTTCTATTTTAAGTAAATTTGGTGAAAAAGTTCTTTAAAAGTGATCACAGGAAACAGTTTTTTATGTACAGACAGACAGACGGACTGAAGGACAATGAAGGAGTTTGAAGAAAATCCTATAATGATTGAAGAATTTGGAGTAAAAATTACCAATTTCTCGAAAAAAAGTTCAAAAGGGCATAATTCTGGAAAAAGTCTTGCTAGAGGATTGACCTTTCTCACAAATGGTGAGTGATAATAAGAAACATATATATGAAGTTTGAAGTAGATACATTCAGGAAAAAAGAAGTTATTAAAAAAAACAATATTTTTTTCATGAAAATTTTAAGTGCAAGGGAGGTAATTCTGATAAATTTTGTGCTAGAGTTGTAAACCTTGTCACATATGATGTGGTTGATGACTAGCAACTTATATTTAAAGTTTGAAGAAAATACCTTAAGAAATAAAGAACTTATAGTGAAAAAACTTAAAAACTAGCATCAGAAATCTTGAAATTCAGTCTATTTGTTGCCATAGCAACCAGAATTTTCAACAAAGGAAGATAAGAAAAGGATGTGCATAATTTCCAGACTGCCATCTACCCATATGTCAAGTTTCATAAAGTATTTTCAGTACTTTTTGCGTTATCACTGGATCCAGGTTATGTGTAAAATTTGCCATATTTTCAGTCTATTTGTTGCCATAGCAACCAGAATTTTCAGCATAGGAAAAAAAGAAAAAGACGTGCATAATGTCCATACTGCAATCTATCCATATATCAAGTTTCATAAAAATATTTTCTGTACTTTTTGTGTTATCGCGGGATTCAAGTTATGTGTAAAATTTGCCATATTTTCAGTCTATTTGTTGCCATAGCAACCAGAATTTTCAACATAGGAAGAAAAGAAAAAGACGTGCATAATCTCCATACTGCCATCTATCCATATATCAAGTTTCATAAAAATATTTTCAGTAATTTTTGCGTTATCGCAGGATCCAGTTTTGTGGATGGACGGACGGACAGACAGACGGACAAACGGACGGACGGACGTCCGACTGAAATGGAATAAAGGGCCATTTCTTTTGTTATTTTCTATTGTTTAATAGAGGGCCAATGGCCCCTTACTCTATTGTTACGGAATGAACTCTATTGTTCTCTTTTGTTCTGTTTACAGTTAGATGGCCCCCTATCCCTTTTCGGTAGTGCGGACAGACTGACTGACTGACAGACGGACGGACAGACAGATGGAGGGTAAACCTAAAGTCCCCTCTGGTAAACCGGTAGGGGACTAATAAACAGTTTTAGAGAAATAATTTAACAATGAAAGCATTTCTGCAGCACAATGGGCCTTAAATCTGATAAGCATCATACCTTTATTATGGTTTGATTTTAATAAAAGACAGTTTGGTCTTACACACAAGACTTATTTACATATAATGACATCTTACCTTGATAGCTGATCTATAGAGAATCTGTGCTGCTTTAGCATATTCTGAAGTCAATATGTTGACACCTCCACCAGGAAACAAAACTCTACAATTACATGTATATAAGCAAATATATAATTGGCTAGAAATTTATATAATTGTTGCAAAAATGGATTTTATCATGTAATTTCATGAGTCACATCATATTGCAAAACTATTTCAAAAGGCATTTTAAGATCTCATGAAGATGGATATCATGCAGATGGGTGTTTTTTTTTTTAAGAAATAAGATCTAAAATGCCTATTTTTGGCTATGATTAATAACCAGTCTTTGAGTTTAATAATATGCTACTGATTTTTTAATTAAGTTTTGCCATTATTGAATTATTATAAGATTTGATTACTTTTTTTTTTAATTTGGTTATTTATAATGCCTTTCGTGTTTTAACAGAATTAATATTTTTTATAGTATTTCTAAGCCTCACCCATTGATTGAACTGAATATGTGATCATAATAAGCCTGTCCTTTCTTCACACTGAAAATATAAAAATACTTTTAGCATTATAGAATAAGAAACAGTCCTTTTTTTGTAATAAGACATTCAGGTGAAAAATAAATGAACTATAATATCCACTATAGAAAACTTAAAATAAATGCAAATAACCTTTTTTCATATATCATCATCAATTTGCCAGTGTTTTAATTTATTCTAAACAATATACGAGCCGCGCCATGACAAAACCAACATAATGGGTTTGCGACCAGCATGGATCAAGACCAGTCTGTGCAGCCGTGCAGTCTGATCAGGATCCATGCTGTTCGCTATCAGTTTCTCTACTTGTTATAGGGTTTGGAAGCCAACAGCATGGATCCTGATCAGACTGCGCGGATGCGCAGGCTGGTCTGGATCCATGCTGGTCGCAAACCCATTATGTTGGTTTTGTCATGGCGCGGCTCGTATATTGTTTAGTTACTTACAATATAGGAACAGCTCTGGCTCCTCCCATTTCCACATATTTGAAATAAGCTGCTGGAATAAAGGTATCTCCATAATGTTTCGACTCCGAATCAGTCTCTTGGGCTAAAACACCTTGAAAATAATAAAAAATTTGTGTTTTCTGCTAATTTTTCCATCATTTTCTTCTGATAGCATAAAGTAGAATTTATCATTTAAAACTGGATTAAAATTTTATAATCATGAACAGCAAAAACATTGTGAACAACTTTTAATGCAGTTAAGCAAAAGACATTACCCTTTGGGATAAGAACATTTTTGAAAACTGCATACTTAAACTTTATTTTTAGCTCCTGTGACTTATTTATGTATCAGACTGAAATCACTTGCATATCTGTTGTAAAGGGTCACCTAACGATCATTCCTGAAGTTTGATCAAAATCTGCTTATTGGTTCAGGAGGTGAATGATGTTGTTTAAATATATTGCAAATAGCCATGAACAATAGGCTACAAACCACAGACACACAGATACTAAAAAAGCTCACCTCTATGCACAAAGTGTTCAGGTGAGCTAAAAACAAAATAATGACTGCTTGATAAAGAGTTAACAAACAAATGAATAAGTGGCGGCATGGCCGGGTGGTTAACACGTCAAACTAGTAATCTAATGATCACTAGCCACATGGGTTCAAATCCCGTCAGGGGCAAGTCATTGTTTCCATGAGCAAGAAACTTTACACTTATTGCTCAGTACTGGTTGGTTCCACATAATTGAACTAAAATAAATTCTGTATAAACCAAACAAATGAATATTCATAATCCTCAAACAAGTTTCTTAATGAATAACACAATAACATGATATATTTCCTAACAATCACAATAGCAGGGTATACTTCCTAACAATGTTGAATCATAATTATGATTGTATTTTCGTTGATAATAACTGTATACCTATTATTGGCCTATCATTATGGTATCCCCATGTACAGCATATTAAACATACCAACACAGCATATTGCAGAATCATTCTGTTGTTTTATTTCTGTAAAATAAAAATTTTGAGTCTTAACTGAAGGGCTGAAAGAAAATGGTTTAATTGAAAAACTTAAGTATTCAATGTGATTCTCATTAATTGTCAAACATTTAGATTCAAATGAAAAAAGATAGTTAGACAACAGATGCTTTTAACATACATGAAGCATGAATAACCTCCCCTAACTGCCAGGGTTTCATGACTTTAGGTCAAATACGTGTTGGACTATTCTTGGCACAGATTGAAAAATGCAGATTTTAACTAAGTCAAGGGCAATAACTCTACAAATAATGATTAAATCCACACAAACTCTACAAATAATGATTAAATCCACAAGCAAAGTCCCAGGTGCACAACTTTACATGCTTAACAACATTTCATGACTCAAGGTTAAACACTTTTTTGGCAAGGTGAGACACAAGTTGAAAATTGAATATTTTTATAAAGTCAAGGGCAATAACTCCAAGAATACTGAATTAGTCCACAAGACACCCCAGGTGCATAACTCAACATGCTGACCAACATTCCAGTATTAAAAATTTCATTACTCTAGGTCACTAGGTCAAATACTTTTTAGAGCTATGTGTAGCACAATGTTCATAAGAATACACACTTACACTTGGACAGACAAAGGCAAATCTATATGCCCCTCCCCCCTATAATGGGAGCATAAAAATGAAACTGCTCTATTATCGTCCCTGTTATTGGAGAGAGATACATATACATTGATATATACAGCCGCATACATACAGTATGCATGTATACAGTATCTGACCAATGTTTATTGGCAGTTTTACACTGGCTATTTTCTTTTTTGGGGTTCAGTGAGTATAGTGACTGAATCATGAGGCATGTTAGATGTACTTTGATTAATATACTTGGCAGGAACCAGTTTCCGGACAATACCAGTTTCTGGACAAGTATTATAACGGCTTAATTTTGGCTTTATCGATGACAATCGGTATTATATGTCATGAAGATGCTTGGTTTGATTGTTTGAGAAATAAACTTCCTTCCAATTTGATACATCATTAAAATTTCGTGAGGATATCTTACCTGTGTTTTAAAAACAGCCTTATATCCCTTTGGGGCATGTAACTTGTTCTGCGCATGTACAATATTTTGTTTATTTTGGGATATAATTTGGGGTAGCAATTAATGCACAATGTACTTCATTTGAAGTTCATTGGGTGTAATTCCCAATAGCTAAATCTGTAACATATCGGAAAACGGTGTTTAGCTAGGTTTACTCCACTTTGGCACTTCGTTGCTGCCGTACACACAAAAATATCCGTTTCACTTTTCAGTCATTCCGAGACCCATCATGTGATCGTTATTTTTCCTATCATAAACATTTTTCAGTAAATCAGCTTAATTATATAAGAAAGCTAATATGTGAGAAGAAATTTTTTGTTATATTAGAATAATTATCAGTTAAAAACAGATATGAATAGCAGCTTAATATATGTCCGGAATCTGGTTCTGCAAGAGTGAACAATTTACACTTTTGATGACCTAATTTAACCCTTCAGTTTGTACATTGCTTCACGGATTTATATTACAGGGATCGGACACTCCCAGTTAACCCTATATAAATGCTTAAATATCTTGTCGTGCACCCGATAAAGGTACATTGATCAATTATTTACCGGCGCTAAGCGTAAATGCCCGTTCGCAACGGATACCTACTTTACAAAATACCATATAGCTTTTCCATTTATTATCCGATTTTGGAAATTTAAAGTTTATTTTGAAGGAAAATACTTGTTTAATTCAAATATCTAATTTATTTTTAAAATGTACAGTTTATCTGTCCGTAACGACGATTAAAAAATTAATTTGACGAAATCCGCAGTAAAGCAGTTATTTGAAATTTATTATTATGGTAACATAATAAATTCAATTTCAAAATAAAAAAGAAGCCGATGTAAGTTATTCACAGATGATGAAAGATGCAATATTTAAGATTTATTGGGTTATGTAGTCAAATTTATTAACGCCCAATTGTTAACTTTTACGGGTAATGTATTGCGGGCTTTACAATTCGCTCAACATTTATTCATTTTTTAGTACAAAATATTGCCGAGATTTTAATATTGCCATATTCATAGAATATTTAAATTTCCTTCATCATTTATAATTACTATTTTTTGTAAATCTGTTATCAAAAGTCGGTGCAGTGAAGTAGACAATCATCGTAACAGTTATAAAAGTACTCTCGTGTGGCTGTCTCGATTCCGGGCTTTTTAATGTCACTCGTATATTTTAATTATTCTTTTCATTTGAATGCATGTAGAAAGATATTTCTGATATTTTTTAATGTAACGCTAGAAAAACAATAAAAATCTTTACAGTTTGAGTCAGAATCATGCGAAATAAAAGTAACTTTTGAATATTTTTTACACATCGTTTAAATTTCTTTGAAGATTAATTACTTTTGAAGGGGGTTAATTACCAGGTAACAAGTGATAATTGAAAACTTTATTTTCAAACTTTCATTACCAGGTTACATGTGATAATTGCAACACTCAGTCTACTAAAACAAATAGAATTTTGAATGTATATTTTGTATGTGCACGGTCTTTAACTACAGTCCATGGTATGTGTGATAAGAAAATGATTCTTAAGAGGATATATATAAATACAATGTAAATCTATTTTCTTTATTAACAATTATAAATGAAATATAAAATATACAACTAAATTTGTATAGCCCTTTCTTTGAAAAATAATAAAGATAAACATATGACAAATAAATCATTTGACGTGAATTGTAAAGGATAACTATGAAAAAAATCTGTTTCAAAATAAACACTTTTTTTTTATAAAACAGCTGTTCTGTATGCCAATAAAAATTTCTTCCTTGCCAATCTAATGAATTCATCTATATATGAACGCTTATCTAGAATGATCTGAAAATATATTTAATACACTAATTAGTAGAATTACTTACTATATTTATACTAATATACAGGTAATAAAATAAACAAGAGGGCCATGATGGCCCTGAGGTCGCTCACCTGTATATAGGCCCCCAACCCCCACACCCCCCAACGTTGCAGGGCCAATTTAACCCAAGGGCTTTTATTTGCACAAACTTGGTAGACACCCATAAGAAGATGTTTCATGCTAAACATCTAAGCTCTAGCTCATTGGGCTTTTTAAAAGAAGATTTTTTTAAAGTTTTTACTATACACATATAGTTAAAAACAATGACACCCCTGGGGCCGGGCCAGTTTTGACCCCAGGGCTTTTATTTGAACAAACTTTGTAGACACTTACTAGAAGATGTTTCATGCTTAATATCTAAACTCTAGCTATTTGGGTTTTTTCAAAGAAGATTTAAAGTTTTTGCTAAACACATATAAAGAAAATCAATGACCCCCGGGGCGGGGCCAATTTTGACCCCAGGTCTTTTATTTGAACAAACTTTGTAGACACTCACTAAAAGATGTTTCATGCTTAATATCTTAACTCTAGCTATTTGGGTTTTTTCAAAGAAGATTTTTTAAGTTTTTGCTATACACATATAAGGAAAATCAATGACCCCCGGGGCAGTGCCAATTTTGACCCCAGGGCTTTTATTTGAACAAACTTGGTAGACACCTATTAGAACATGTTTGATGCTCAATATCTTAGCCATAGCTCTTTGAGTTCTTTAAAAGAAGATTTTTTAAGTTTTTACTATATGCATATAGGGAAAATCAATGACCCCCCGGGGCGGGGCCAATTTTGACCCCAGGGCTTTTATTTGAACAAACTTGTTAGACACCCATTAGAACATGTTTCATACTAAATATCTTAGCTCTAGCTCTTTGGGTTCTTTAAAAGAAGATTTTTTAAGTTTTTGCTATACACATATAAGGAAAATCAATGACCCCCGGGGCAGTGCTAATTTTGACCCCAGGGCTTTTATTTGAACAAACTTGGTAGAAACCTATTAGAACATGTTTGATGCTCAATATCTTAGCCATAGCTCTTTGAGTTCTTTAAAAGAAGATTTTTTAAGTTTTTACTATATGCATATAGGGAAAATCAATGACCCCCCGGGGCGGGGCCAATTTTGACCCCAGGGCTTTTATTTGAACAAACTTGGTAGACACCCATTAGAACATGTTTCATGCTAAATATCTTAGCTGTAGCTCTTTGGGTTCTTTAAAAGAAGATTTTTTAAGTTTTTACTATATGCATATAGGGAAAATCAATGACCCCCCGGGGCGGGGCCAATTTTGACCCCAGGGCTTTTATTTGAACAAACTTGGTAGACACTCACTAGAAGATGTTTCATGCCAAATATCTAAGCTCTAGCTCTTTGAGTTCTTTAAAAGAAGATTTTTTAAGTTTTTACTATATGCATATAGGGAAAATCAATGACCCCCCGGGGCGGGGCCAATTTTGACCCCAGGGCTTTTATTTGAACAAACTTGGTAGACACTCATTAGAACATGTTTCGTGCTAAATATCTTAGCTGTAGCTCTTTGGGTTCTTTAAAAGAAGATTTTTTAAGTTTTTACTATATGCATATAGGGAAAATCAATGACCCCCCGGGGCGGGGCCAATTTTGACCCAGGGCTTTTATTTGAACAAACTTGGTAGACACTCACTAGAAGATGTTTCATGCCAAATATCTTAGCTCTAGCTCTTTGGGTTCTTTAAAAGAAGATTTTTTTAGTTTTTACTATATGCATATAGGGAAAATCAATGACCCCCAGGGGCGGGGCCAATTTTGACCCCAGGGCTTTTATTTGAACAAACTTTGTAGACACTCACTAGAAGATGTTTCATGCCAAATATCTAAGCTCTAGCTCTTATGGTTTTTTAAAAGAAGATATTTAAAGTTTTTTCTTTCGGTTGCCATGGCAACCAGAGTTCTGCATGGAATAAAATTCTTTGAACAATTTTTAAAGGTGACCACCAAAGGAACATTCCTGTGAAGTTTGGATGAAATTGGCTTAGTGGTTTATGAGGAGATGTCATTTAAAGTAAAAGTTTACGGACGGACGGACGACGGACGGATGGACAGACGCCGGACGAAAAGCGATCTCAAAAGCTCACCCTGTCACTTTGTGACAGGTGAGCTAAAAATGTACAAATCATTTGGAAATAATTCACAGAAATAAAGATAAATTTCAAACATGGATTTCTTTAAAAGTTTTTAAGCAATCAAGAAACATTTTTTGCATTGCACCCATTATTTTTACTATGTACAAAAGAATTATCTTAATCTGAATCGCGGTATTAATTTGTGCTTGAAGTAAAAGGGCGTCAAAGTGTAGAGAGTATGCCTAAACAATAGGCGAATATTTTTTTAATTAGGTACTTTTTTAACTTAGCGTTGCATCGTTCTTTCGGCATATTTTCATATATTAATACTTTAGCGGCACAAAATAATACTGTATCAATACATTCATATGTGTAGAATTTTTCACAAAGCTGCAATAACACCACATACTCATGAGAAAATCTGTCATATTTCGCACTCCGCGCGTTCCACCATCTCTCGTTCTGTCCACCTTTATCCGATGTGCGATTCCGCGCATGCGCGCGACGAGACTTAAAGGTAAACGAAAGTGTCCGATCCTTGTAATGTAAATCCGTGATTGCTTACGTCACCAGGCAGAATTAATTGTGTTATTGGACGTAGTTAGAGCTCAGGTTTTTGGTATGTTAGTTTGAATCCGGGTCAGCTCGGTCCTAAAACATACTCGGCCCCCGAGTCAGCTCAGCCCTATTCCAACTCGGCACGGGTCAACTCAGCCCACTTTTAAAAATGGGTAAAGGACATCAAAGGACTCCTATTGTCACGGGCTATTATTATTAATCAATGTGTATGTTAAAGATACCGATTAATTAGGTGATAATTATGATTTACTCATATATTCAAATTTGATTAGTGACCACCTGCAATTAATTAGAAGCTTATGCTATTAAGTAAACACGTTTTTGTTTCATTTTTTTTTTTCAAAAAATTACTTTACAAACAAAATGAATCTAAGGAAACACATTTTTATTATATCTATATTCACAGGCACAAGTATCGGACCTGGGAAGAAAAAATATGAAGTTATTTTATCAATCTGTTCATATTTTTTCTTCCCAGGTTAAATAATCCTGCCTGTGTCTATATCAATTTTATCGAATCTGCAAGAAAAATAAATAACTTTTTTTTCTTCTAAATATACTTTATTTCAGCAGAGGTACAATGTATAATTATATAATAATAATAAGATATTTCTTATAATTCATTTACCTTAACAACATGTAAAGCAAAGTAAATACGTTATAGGCCTATATATTTTTGTAAAGTGGGCCGAGTTGACCCGTGCCGAGTTGACCCATGCCGAGTTGACCCGTGCCGAGTTGGTATAGGGCCGAGTTGACTCTTTTCCTGTTAGTTTTATTCACAGGTGCTTGAAACAAACTTTTTAAAGTTTTATATGGGCTATATACTATAATAAGATATCTTTATATACATATATAGACCGGTTATGTAAAATATTTGATTATGTGACTAGCGCCTGTGGTTTTATTAATGCATGTTTATTATTAAAAAATAGACAATTAAACTGTTAAAAAAACTAGAATTCTGTCCGGAAACTGGTTCCTGCCCAGTACAATTCTAGTAACTGTACAATTGACCATTATATTTTGCTAGACCTGTTTACTGTCGCATCAAGTCAAAAATTATAAAAGATCATAGTTAGGAAGACGGAACTAGGAGTAGGAAGTGAAAGTGAGAAATCATGTGACACTGATCAGCTGATATGTAAACAATGTAATGACAATGATAATATCTACGACCGCCCTCCTTCAATTACTGGTTCTAAATACTTATTGAGATATAAAACATAGACGCTACAGTATGTAAGTCTGATTTCATCAACTGAACAAAATTACTTACGTTACGTACATGTATATTGTAATCGCAACAGTAGCTACAGTACAAATGAGGTTTATAAAACAAGGGAAATTACTCTGAACATCTATAAGTACTCGTCTGAGTGGCGCTGCTTGTTTGTTTATTTTTCCATCCTTTTTAGCTTGCTTTGTTTTATTGTCTTTTAAAATTTATATTTTATGCTAGTTTTTCCTTGCTGTATAAGTTTGTTTGTTTGTTTTAATTAAGACTTTCTTTTCTATCGTCCATAAGACTAGCATGCAATTTCCTTTTAGTTAACTTTGTATGCATTCAATTCTGTTTGATTATCACAATTTATATAATCTTAAAAATAAATCAAGTACAGGAGCATGTTCTATATTTAGATTCATAGATATTTTTTTCGTCGCAACGAACTGCTGTTTCAACAAAAAAAGAGACTAAATCAATTGATTGGTAAATCAGACAATAAAAGGTATAAATATTATAATTATTTAAGATTTTTATTAGCCTGCTTAAATGCATCATTTTACGACAGTTGCAAGACAATTCGTACCCAGGGTATTTCGTACCTTGCTCGTGCACGACTTACTCAATTTGATCAGAATTTGAAATACTAACTTACCTATTTATCTCTTATTTTTGTGGAGCTAAGGACCAAACTGGAGTAGATGAACATTAACTATCATTTCTATATTGTGGTGTTTGCTCTATGTTCAGAAAAATACCCCTGGCCCTGTAAAACATTATGAACAAAGAAACACAGGAAACAGCTGTTAGACAAATATTATTTTTTTTATTTGTAAATGAATCTTCAACCTTTGAATAAATAAGATACTTATTTGAAACTAATGGTCATTTTTCTCTCATTGACCTTTTCGAAAACCTAGCTAAACACCGTTTTCTGGTATGTTACGTCGTATTTAGCTATGGTCCATAGCTAAATACGACGTAACATACCAGAAAATTGATAAATTGAAAATTCCCCAGGGGAATTACTCCAAATGAAGAACATAACACAGTTACACATTTACATGATATTTCTATTTTTCTTTCATTATTTTACCGTTTAATGTGAAAAAAATCGATGTTTTTGAAAATTATCAATATTCCTTTAATAATTATTGCAAAATTTTTCAAAAAGTAAGTTGTTTATAATGAAAATCAATAAAATTTAAACAGACGTGGAATCTTCATTAAGGTTATTTTCGGCGTAAACTTGTATATTTACCTAACTTTTTGTATGGAATTATTCATACAATGACATTAAATTATTTTCTTCTAAAGAAATAACTGTTTTATTTCAATTTAATTTTAAAAAAAGGCCGAAAACATCGCAGTGTTAGCGATTTTCCCTAACTTTACCGAGTACCTGGGACTTGGTGCTTATAGATCTGTTACGTCCCAATTCAAATGGGACAAGTCCTCAATTACAAAAATGCCGATGTTTGCATAACTTCATAATACAATCAAATTTGTGACTGTTGATGTTCGCGGATACCATTGATTGGCCCAAAACGAGGCCGAGCACTTGTTCCTAGTCTACGTTTGGGATATAAATCTGCATTGCTAATGAGAGCGGAACAAATCAAATTAAGGTGAAAGTCAAGTTCTTATAAATAATACAATTTATTAAAAGTGAATAGAAAATTTTTTTTCAATTAAAGCAAAAAAACTTAAGAGAGAATTAACCAATTATCGGGGAAAAAGTGTTTCATCCCAGGGACTTAACAGCCCTTTTTTTCTTTCCTCCCAGGCAATTTTAGCAAGTAAATTGATATGTTTACTCAGTAAACGCGAACACTGCATCGAGTTCGCTATTACACTCCATGAGGTGAATACCCCAGAGCTATGTACAGACAGTACTGGAAAACAGCGTTTAGCCAGGTTTTTGAATTCGTGAATTGCTGATTCAGAAATATTTTGGGTTTAGTAGTAGATACAACTTACACAGGCATGAGTATTGGACCTGGGAAGAAAACATGACCAGATTAATAAAAAAAAACCTGTAAGTGTATTCATTTTAAATGTGCCAAAAACCAGGGTTACAAATATTTTTGAAATTAAATTTGATTTTTTTTTAATTTTCACATTGATTTATTTCTCAGAATAAAAAAAGAGGTCAAATTATACTTATAATCAGTAATATAAAATTAAAAGTAATATATAATCAGTAATAAAATTAACAAGACTGTTACATAATCCATTAACATCACCACAGTCCACTTCAAAGCGGCTTGTTAGCTTGAGAATGGCCTTGGTCAATACAAAGTATATTTTGAGAAAGGTCAAAGGTCATTGTGGCCATATCTTTAAATCACAGAACAGAAATTAGGAGCTGCAAAACAAAGAATGAGAAATTTTTATTTGGCATTAATTTATTTTCAATAATTGCTATTTCTGAATGAGAAAGCATTTTTGCATAATTGCTAGTTTTTTTTGTCATTTGATAATGTCTGCAGGTTTTGTATTAATTTCTTTTGCTATAAATATTTATGTACTTATCGGCTGTCAAATCAAGATTTGATTGATGCACAATACAAAAGTGTTGTTTGGTGACATACAGTACATTTTAAAATCATGTATTAAACCCATTCTTAACTAGTTGAAAAAGAAATTGTGTTTTTAGGACATTAATTATATAGACTGACTGCTGAGATATATCAATTAAAATGTATAAAATCTGCATAAAAACCAGTTAAGCAAGCAAAATAAAAATGAGTCAGAGTGGGCTTATTTTGTAGCTTGACTTTTATGAAAAATTTAACATCTTGTTTATCAAATCATAAGTGAAGTCTGATTTTTTTCTGTACCACATTTCTGTTACTACAAGTACAACGCTGCAAATTCATTGCTTTCTGGACACATGATGCAGAGGTGGAAAAATATGTTATGTCAAAACACAAGTGAAGTTTGATGTTCACTCTAATTAACTTATTATTATTTAGGGAGTATACTTAGGGAGTATTTGAAACTGAAATACATATGTGGCATGCATAATATGAAGGATTTCTATGTAATTTAGAATCTGCTGTTTCCAAATGATTTTTGCTTTTCTACATTGTATATGGAAGTGACTTGTCATTCACACCAACCCCAAAAAAAGTTTCAAATGAAAAATAGTTAAATTCATTGAAAGCAATAATTAACTGAAAACTTTGCTTATTTCAGGTGGTTGGGTGAAGATGGCTTTAGATATGAAGTTAAAGTCAAGCTATCTTGAGATCTTATCTCAAGGTATAGAGGAGGTTTGGCAGGACGAATCTTTCACTGACGTTGTGATCAATGTTGGAACAAAAACATACAATTGCCATAAGTTGATACTGTCCTCACTTTCAGCATATTTTAGTGCAATGTTTAGATCAGGGATGCGAGAAACACTGAATGGAACTGTCAACTTACAAAATATTGAGGCAGACATTTTTGAGGCAGTTTTGAAATTTATGTACACTGGCGGTAATGTGATAACCAAAGACAATGTACAGCATTTACTCCATGCAGCAGTTATGTTACAGGTCAAATGTCTTCAAGAACAGTGTGAATCCTACCTCAAAAAGTGCATAGGTAAATTGTAGATTGTAAATGCCATATAATGAATTTAATAACTGTTTTGTAATTTTTGAGTATTGTGTTCCATTTAAAAATAAATTTTTTATACATTTAAAAAATGCACACATCATGAATATTGACATACAGTTTGTACTAAATATTTTGTTTACACTTACTTGAAGGATGATGTAAAAGTACAGGAAAATCTTATGGACCTTGTACACTTTATTATATAATTATCACTTACTTAATATTACTCTTTAAACTTCTTAGACTTTAGATTTGTGTTCTGTACTGAAATATAATGTTTTAAGAAAATGAATTTTGTCTATACTATATTTAATACAACTTCTGTAGCACAACGCCCTTTGAGAGACAAAGATTTTCCTTGCTGCTGTGAGGTGTTACCCAATTTATTATGAAATCTTACTTTGAGAAAAAAATGATATTGTTGTTGTAAAGCAGTGATTGCTCTACATACAGAGGGCAGCTCTGTAGAGTTTGAACTGTACATATTTTAATCTATACATATTCACTTTACATTTCTAGGGCCAGAAAACTGTCTTGGTATCTGGAATGTGGCTTCTAGTCTGAACTGCTCAAAACTTATCAAAAAGAGCTGGACATATATCCTTGAGTTCTTCCCTACGGTATTAAACTCAGAGGAATATGGACAAATCTCCGCTGATGATCTCATAACAATAATCAATGATGATGACTTGAACACACCCTCAGAGGAGGCAGTCTGTGATGCTGTTTTAAAATGGGTCAACATTGATCCTGAATCAAGAAGACAGGAATTAGGAAAACTGCTCAGAAATGTTAGATTTCCTTTAATTTGTGTAAAATATGTCAAAGAATTGAACACAAATGACTTGATTAAAAATAACGCTGACTGTCAGTCATTACTTGAAGGCATTTATGAGTATCTAACTACCAAAGATAATGACATGTTGAGTGTGAATTATTTGTCAGAGATGTCTCGTAATTGCCAACATAGACAAGAAGAGATGATGTGTGTAGTTGGTACCCGTAGTCGTCATCCAAATCCTCAGGCAACAGAAATCAAATGTTTTAGTTTTCGACGTGATGCAGAATATATATTAGCCGAACTACCTACTGAACCTGGTGCATGCTTCGCTGTTTGCAAGTGTAGGGACAATGTTTATATCTCAGGGGGTTATCATGGACAGAATCTTGTTCTACAATTTGTGTCAAGTGATAACAGATGGCAGCACTGTAGCCCTATGCTTGAAGGTCGTTGGGGTCATTCACTGGTTGAAGTTGATGGAAAAATTTATGCTGTTGGTGGAAGCACAAAAATTTCACAAACGCTTTGCAGCATTGAGTGCTATGACCCAGTTTTGAATGAATGGAAATTAGCTGGTGCTCTCAATATACCAGTGTCATTTATGCCAACTGCAGCAATAGGAAACAGAATCTACGTGTTTGGAGGGAAGTTGGGAGATCGGACATTAACAACTAAAGTTCAATGCTTTGATATCAAAAGAAGAATGTGTTTCATTATTGAAGATATGCCTCTTATGGCTTCAACTGCAAGTAGAGTTGCTGTTGTTGATGAAGCAGTTTACATATTCTATCGCCATGGTGATATTGTAGAATTCAAAGTAGGTTCCTCAGTTTCAGTTGTTGGGAATATGCCACATTTTGATCACTATGGCGTGATTCCTCATGAAGGACAGATTTTGATAGTTGGTTGTCAAAGTAACCAATATTCAACAGTGATGTTCAATCCTGTAACAAGGGAGATGACTCCCTATAGCAGGACAGTGAAGGCAGCTTTATGTAACTTTTACTGTATGCCAATTGTTATGAGCAAACAACATATCAAGGCAGAATCTGACCACCAGTAGCATGGCTAATCTATCAAATCAAAATGATTGCAATACTTATGAATATTGGTGTGCATCTTTGTCCATTAATAGTGATCTAGTCCTCATTAGCCCCCTATGGTTCATTGGAGGTATTATAGTATTATAGGTTTGCCGTCTTTCAGTCTGTCTGTGTGTCTGATTCATTCGTTTGGTCAAGGAAACAATAGGTATTGTAATGGTATTATTTTATTCATACAGCATTTACTGTTGGGTAAAATGTGGTATTGATAAAGATAAACCATTTGTAGGAACACCAGTCTGCTTAAACATGATCCTGTTATAATTAAAAAAGTTCTTGGAATAACTTGATAAATGGATAGATGGCGGATATGTACATGATTTTAGTTTGTTCCAATGTGAAGTGTGGTTGCTATGGCAATTAATAGACTATATACATTTTTGAAGTCCTGTAGATATTCAATTTAAACTTGTTACAAGATCAGACTCAAAGCAATAGCTTTTGATTTCACAAGTTATTGACCTTATTCAAATTGAAAATCTTTTAAACATCTACATTTTCTTGAATATATTTCTAACGCCAATTGAGGCATTTTATATAAACTTTGTACAAACTTCATTTATGTCATATTAAGTAATTTGATTTATTCCTCAGTCAGAATTTTATCATGGCATTGTTCCAGTTCATCTGCTTTATACTTGGCAGAAAGTGGTCATCTTGGATTACAACATAGATTACTGTTTCCTCAAAGTCATCTGCGAAAGTACATTTGATTAAGATTAAGATTAAGATAATTTTTCACCTTTATATCACTGAAGAGAAACCATTTATATTCTAAAGAGAAACTGGAATGTGTCACACCTGCATGTATCATTTACAAGAAATTAATGATTTTCAGCTAAGTTCTAGTCATTATTTAAATTTTTGTTCCTTTTACTGTGGAAAGGCACTTTCCAGTAGAGGGGACTATTTTTTACAGGACAATAGTATTATTACTTTATATATTTAAACTCCCAGCAATAGCATTACTATTTTATATATTTATACATTACAGCTTTTTTAAAGGCTAATAGCTTTAATATCTTTATGCATATTTCTCAGATTATTGTACTATTGCTTTCCCTGGTCAGCTATAGAGTGCCTTATTTACGGATATTTTTTGTATTAGATAATAATATAAATGCATAAATGTAAGATATTAGTCAATAAGCATTTCAAAGGGCTTGATAAAACTGTAAAATTTTCTGCTGACCTAATATTAGTTCCTTTTGACTAATATTAAGGTCATCACTCTAGTCAAAATAGAAAGAATGGGTTAACAAACTTTTTTTCATTAATTTTACATTAGATTTAAGTGAAGGTGCAATTGGCCTGATATGTTAAAAACTTGTTTAATGATGTAGCGCACAGGCGCATAATATACTTTCAATATACATGTACCTTATTATATGTGTATAAACTATATACAGAATCGCTGTAATTATAGTATATAAATATATAACTACATATGGTCTAGTGCACTAGAAGTGCACACGGTGTGCACTTCTAGTTCAGCTCTAGTGCACTAGAAGTGCACAAGGGTGGGAAGTTTAGTGTGAACTCAACTGTAGGTAGATTATCAACTGAGGGGTTGCCTTGAAGGGTTGAGGCATCAGAATTGCACCCATCGTTTTTTGCTACATGAGTGTAAGAGACAACTTAATGGGTTCAAATTACTGGAGTCTATGAATCTCTTAGTTCCAGCAGGTGAAGTGGTTTTGACCCTTGGTGTTGCTTTAAGTTTGTTACATCCTAGGTTAGCAAAATCTTCTTTCCTGTTTCAGCATCATATGACCTAAATTGTGTTGGTATGCAGTTAAACCAAACAAACAAGGGAGATTATATCTGTAATTAGCACCTGTAAGGTCAAGGTTAGCTTGTCATAATGTAGGGTAAAAATGTTTATTTGAATAAAATTTTACTTACTCTTGTTTTTTGGAAAGCCCTCATTGTCTTGACATTTGTATTAAAAGACATACTGTATAAATGAGCATCTTTAAAATACAATGTTTTATTTATCTTATTAATTTATTTATTGTTATTTATTTGACTGTTTTTTATTGTTTGTCCGTTTTATATCTATTATCATTATGTACCTGTAAGACATACGAAAGGGTTATCCAAACATTTGTTGACATTCTTTGGTGCGTAAAATATATTTGAGATATTGATTTGAAATTCTTTCATTGCTTAGAAGAATATATAACAAATAAAAAAAGAAAAAATCATGTTAGTAGCTTCTTATATTACAACAATATTCAATTTTACATAAACACATGTCAGCGACAGCGGCGCACTCTAAAAAGTTATTGACGTCATAGTATTTAATTAACGTACAACTTATGCTTTAACGTTACACAGTCAATAACCATTACTGCTTCACAAATTAATGTCCATCACTAAATTTGTTATGCCACTTAAAAACTAATGATAGTGAAATTTTATTTCTCTGTTCGCCTGATGTTTTTTATTTTATTTTTTTCAAATGTTTCTGTAAGTGTCATTCCCAAATTACAGCAAAATTTTATGATCACGCTATTTTCTAATTACTGCGTGTCCGTCATTTTCCCGTTGTAAACAATATCGTCGTCTGGCGTTTCTGGCGATTTCAACAAAAATTAACAGAAATGACGTCCATAATTTAAAAAAAATTGACATCATAGAAGAAATGTGCGTTGTTTAGCGGGTTTTCTACGTTAATTAGTAGTTTTTTAGCAAAAAATATACGATGAATAACTGCGCTTTTCTACTGTGCGCCGGGTGCCGTGTATGTGCTTACTTAAAAGCAATATAAAATCATTATTTATTGATGCAGTTAACTGTTCGTTTCAAAACGAGTTGATAATATTTTACAATGTATGCTGATAAAATTTCATTACAATACACGTTGACGTTCAAAAGATATTTAAAAAGTCCACGAATTTTTGGATAACCCCTCTTACTTGTATAGAAAGCAAATCCAAACTGTAAATGGGTTTGAACCAAATGACTTTTCTGACATAATGTCATTATTTAATAGTTGAATATAAGGTTTTAATGTGAAAAGATATATATATAATACAAGGGTAAATTAACTATGACTACCTTGATTTGTTACTCGTATTTTAAGTTCTGCTGACTACAATATACAGTTATACTTTATATCTTTTGATATAGCAAGTCCATTGTGTTAATCAAGATACTTATTTATCACATATCCGTGCCACTTTTTTTAATTCTGTAAAAAATGGTATTGCACAGCCCTGCATATATTTTGTGTTATACAAACATAGTGTAAAGATGCAGTAAATGTTAGCATTACACTAAAGGCTAGTCAATGAAAAATGATTCTTTTTCACTTTAAACAGACTTTATTTTTGCTCTGTGATAAATAGAATATTATATTTGTGTAGATTAACCCATTACTTCATATACACGCCTTTTAACGCCTTTTTCCCCCCCCCCCCCCCTTTTGTTGTCTCAAATGATGAAAGAATGCCTTATTTAGGCCCCAAACACTTGTTTTTGTTTGAGAAATGTTGTTAAACAAAGTGACCTCTTTTTCGGCGCGGCCCCCCAACCAAAAGATACATCAGGGGGTTGCCAGAAGGGGGATGTGCCCCCTTCTGTTTGGGGGGTCTGAAGGGGGGCGGAGTCCCCCTCATCGCCAAGAAAAATTTTGGACTTGTGAGAGGCTGTAAATGACCCCAGATTGATCATAAGGTAACGTGTAACCAACGCTGAAAAGCATTTGACTCTATCTCAATCCATTGAGAAAGTGCAGCACTTTGAAATCAATTTTGATGGAAAAAATCAACGCAAAATAGTGATTTTTGGCAATTTTGAGATGTCCCCTCGTTGTTATGGTAACAGAAAATTTAAGCCTGAGCATGTTGTTGCAAGTGCAATGGTCCAGTCAACATTTGTGCCAAGTTTGATTAGTGTTGAAGCAGTTTTTATAGTATTATAGCAATTTGAACTTGTAACGGGAGACTTTTCAATGAAAACAGCCATTTTTCACAAAATGCTCATGAAGTAATGGGTTAATTACTGAATATATTGAACTTGTGGAATAAAACAATATTATGCTTGCCAAATGCTCGCATAATATAATTTTATTCAACTCCTTAATAAATTCAGTATTGAACTTACACTCATTCGATATCCTCTATGTAATAATTCTGTTATTGTTGGGATTATTTTTTTAGAGGTATTGAATCATGCCCTATTAAAGTTTTGTGGACTTTTCCCTGTATAATACATGAACATGTAAGTAACTCCTGATTTTATTTCATGTTTTCATTATATTTTTTTTAAGCTACATGTTGACAATTTTAGTAAAGTAGTAAAACTTCCTGAATTCAACTTTGTTTGTCATTAAGTATATGGGATGATTCAGAGATTAAAATTGTTAAATATTTATAACAGGAAAGAAGAATATTGAATTTTCTCAATTATTTCATTTAAGTTTTGATAATGTTGTACATTGCCCAAAGAAGGGTAGATTCTAAATATCACTTGCTACAGATGCAATTCAGAATAACATTCATTGAGAAACAAATTGATTGATCTTTAAAAAGAGTAAACAAGTAGATTGTGATGGAATGTTTTCATGTAATTTTATACAAGCAATAAACAGAAGAAAAAAATTGAAAATGTGTTTTTCACTTAACCAGTTTAACCTTTTCCCTTATATAAGCGTGTTTCGACGGCTTTTTGCCCCCCCCCCCCTTTTTGAGGCCTCAAACAGTGAAAAAATGTCCTATTTAGACCACAAACACTGTTTTTCGTTTGAGAAATGTTGTTTAAAAAAGTGACCATTTTTTCGGCGCCGTCCCCCATCCAAATAATACATCAGGGGGTTGCCAGAAGGGGGATGTACCCCCTTCTGTTTGGGGGGGTTTGAAGGGGGGCGGAGTCCCCCTCATCACCAAGAAAATTTTGGACTTGTGAGAGGCTTAAAATGACCCCAGGTTGATCATAAGGTAACGTGTAACCAACGCTGAAAAGCCTTTGACTCTATCTCAATCCCTTGAGAAGTTGCAGCATTTTGAAGTTAATTTTGATGGAAAAAATCGAGGCAAAAAAGTGATTTTTGGCAATTTTGAGATGTCCCCTCGTTGCCATGGTAATAGGAAATTTAAGACTGAGCATGTCGTTACAAAGGCAATGGTCCAGTCAACATTTGTGCCAAGTTTGATTAGTATTGAAGCATTTTTCATAGTTTCATAGCAGTTTGAACTTGTAAGAGGAGGCTTTTCAGTGAAAATGGCCATTTTTATACCCCCACAAACGAAGTTTAGGGGGGGTATATAGGAGTCAGCTTGTCGGTCGGTTGGTCGGTCGGTCGGTCCGTCGGTCGGTCCACATCATGGTTTCCAGACGATAACTAGAGTTTGGAATGAGGTATTGTAATCAAACTTGGTATATAGCAACCTTATGTGGAAACTCCGGTTGGTATTGCATTTGGACCCCCTGGGGTCAAGGTCAAGGTCACCGTTACTAAAAATAGAAAAATGGTTTCCGGACAATAACTAGAGTTAGGAATGAGATATTATTATCAAACTTTGCGTATAGCAAGCTTATATGAAGACCTGGGTTGGTATTGCATTTAGGCCCCCTGGGATCAAGATCAAGGTCATGGTTACTAAAAATAGAAAAATGGTTTCCGGACAATAACTTGAGTAAGGAATGAGATATTGTAATCAAACTTGGTATATAGCAAGCTTATATGAAGACCTGGGTTGGTATTGTATTTGGACCCCCTGGGGTCAAGGTCACTGTTACTAAAAATAGAAAAATTGTTTCCGGACAATAACTAGAGTTAGGAATGAGATATTGTTATCAAACTTGGTGTATAGCAAGCTTATATAAAGACCTGGGTTGGTATTGCATTTGGACCCCCTGGGGTCAAGGTCAAGGTCACCGTTACTAAAAATAGAAAAATCGTTTCCGGACAATAACTTGAGATAGGAATGAGATATTGTAATCAAACTTAATCAAACTTGGTGTATAGCAAGCTTTTATGAAGACCTGGGTTGGTATTGTTTTTGGCCCCCTGGGGTCAAGGTCACCGTTACTAAAAATAGAAAAATGGTTTCCGGACAATAACTAGAGTTAGGAATGAGATATTGTTATCAAACTTGGTGTATAGCAAGCTTATATGAAGACCTGGGTTGGTATTGCATTTGGACCCCCTGGGGTCAAGGTCAAGGTCACTATTCCTAAAAATAGAAAAATGGTTACCGGACAATAACTAGAGTTAGGAATGAGATATTGTAATCAAACTTTGTGAAAAGCAAGCTTATTTGGAGACCCAGTTGGGATTACAATTAATTGAAATATTTCTTTGTTCACAGTTGATAGTTTGTGTTGAAAGTTTTCTTCAGACTACTTTTTTTTCAAAAAGTTGCTGGTGGGGGTATTAATCACCTTCAGTGATAGGTCTAGTTCACAATATGCTCATGGGGGAAAGGGTTAAGCTTACCAGAACTGATTGTTTGTTTGTTTCATTTTACGCCTTTTTCCAACAGTATTTCAGTCATATAGGCGGGTAGTTTCCTAACCATTGTTCCTGGAGAGTTACACCAGTACTAAACTACCTTCCTCCGCGCTAAACTACCAAAGCATCTCCCGGGGATCGAACCCACGCCGGAGAGGTAACTGGATTAGAAGTCATCGACTCTAACCCCTCGACCACGGAGACGGTCTACTAGAACTGAAGGTTTGGGCGAGTTATTATTATCAGCATTATGTATATTAACAAGGGATGTCACGGTTAAAAAATGCTAAACAGCGACTTTATAAACTGTGTCATACTAATCAAATCCTTAGATTTTCAACATTAACTTTGTTTCTTTATGAAAAAGAGATGACATTTGCTCGTATTTTGTTGTAACCAAATAATAAGTTAGCGCCGAACCATACTTGATCAGATCCGGAAAAATACATTGTTGGGTACAACTAAAATACAATCAAATTGTTGTATCTTTTTATAAAAATACTAAGGTGATATTTAGAATTGATTTCAAACTTTTTGTAACAAAGGGAAATAACTCAAAAATTAAAAAGTGCAGAGTACCGGTTCTTGTACACTGCACTTCGGGTCATTATAAGAAGCATGTATACCAAGTTTGAAGTCAATCCGACTTATAATGACTGACTTATGCTAAGGACAAGCTTAAGGGGACGCCAATGCCAAAAGTAACCCCTTTATGTCAACTTTTACAAGGCAACACAAAAAGAGCCAGGTCAGTTTTTAAGTGGTTCCAGTCTGACAACTATGTTTAGAGGAATAAATCCTTGGTATGACTTCAGACTTAGCAAGGTAATATTTAAGGTATTAGCACCCTAATGCATTACCTCCGCTTTGAAGAGTATTCAAATAGGCTAGAATTACTGTTAACTACATTGAAAATGAGGGCCATGGGTTCAATCCCCAGAAGGGTCAACTTTTTTTTTCTTTCTTTTTTTCTTTTAACATTATTTATGTATCTCTCATGTCACATATGGAAAGAAAAAAGTGTTTAATTTTGAATTTATATAGGTATTTATTGGCTAAATTATGCTAAATCTAGTAATAAATATGGTACCTGATATTTTCAAAGTGTAATATAATCAAAACTAGACGGTAAAAGTATTTCATATTTTACAAGATCAACCAATATACTTTTTTAAAAATTTAGGGAAACTTTGAAAACAGGCACTCATTTGGGTAAATTTTAAGAATTTTTTGAATTAGGCTCCCCAAGTGGAAAAATGGTCAGACATGTGGTAAAAATGGGTGGGGTAGGGTAACATTTTTATACAGATTTCATAAATTTTAAGTAATAACCATAATTTTGCTTATGTGGATTGTTAGCTGAATGGTACTATTTGTTTCTTACCAAAAATTCATGGGAAAACATTTTTCATTAGAATGTTATAGCAGATTATTTAAAGGTTCCTCATTTCTAAAAAAGGGCCCTCATAACATCCTAGCTTGAGTTCAGAAAAGTGGCCATAACTTGATTTCCGTACGGTAAACTTTGTTTAAATTTTGCATACAGGTGTACTTTAAGGTATACATCTGACCTATGATGTCAATTCTTTAGTTCCTGATAGTGCCCATTAGGGTCCTAATACCTTAAATGACTAGAAAAATCAACCAGAAATTAGTAAAGAACATGGCTGCTCAACAAATTGATTCACCCAATAAGTATGTTTATGTTAAGGTTTAAGTATTTAACAATTTCTTGTTGTTTTTATTTCTGACATATCTGAGTAAAACATCAACTTTAAAATAAAACACATTTGATGTGTATGATGAAATAATAAAGTGACCAAGTAAAGCAACGCTCCTCAAAAATCCTAGTAAGATACAATCAGAAGGTAATTATCATAGTGATTTCCTCAACTAGTCCTCAAAATAGAACTACAGAAGGTGCATAGTTAATGAGGCTTAGTTAACTTGTAAATTCATTTCAGCAACTTTTCAGTTCATATTTCCAAAAACGTAACATACAGTAGCAGTGTAAGAAATTAGGATTTGAATCGACTAGGCTGGTCGGACTACCAGATTGGAATATTCACTAGCCCAAAAGACATTTCACTAGCATGATTCATTTGTTTAAAACAGTTGTTTATATTGCCTCTGAAAATACAGTAGCCTGTATCGGGCTTGTAACTGTGACAAGTTGGTAGCCCGAGGAGAAATTTAGTAGTCAGGGGCGATCAGACTACTGCTATTTCGAACACTGCAGTAGAGCGAGCGTCATTCAGCTTTTGTCAGCTATGATAACTGTATTTGGTCTGTTTTGAGTTCTTTCTACATTTATAATTTCTTTATCCATTGAAAGTAAATCTAGATTTTGGGAAAGTAATGAATAAAACTTATTAAATATAACACAACATATTTCTTGCTTTCTTATAATAATTTATTATTCCTCTAACCCTTAATAAAGGTTTTGGATACAAGTTATAAATATCTAAACAAAAGTACAAAAACTCCATCTACACATACTACATGTACAAATACAGTCATTCTTAACAAAAAAATACAGTCATTCTTAACAAATTCTAAAAAGTACAAGACATCTTTTCCATCTATACAAACAATAAATACAGACATTGTAAACAACAAGAGCACTCACTGTATCATCACCTTAGTACAACCACTAATAGGTGGATCAGTTGGTTAGACCACTAACTGTCGCTCCTGAGGTTCCGGGTTTGATCCTGGGTAACACCCTTGGGATTTTTCAGAGACACTTTCAGTGTTTCCCACCTACCTAGAGGTTTACTGGTACGAAACCCAGGTAATCCTCGCATGTATCAGTGCTATACACTGGGCATGTAAAAGAACCAAGGGATCTATTCAATAAGAGCTAGGGACTGGTTCCCGGGCTCCCTTGTATCTCATAACTGTCTCTAGAGTCTGCTGAGGTAAAGAACCTACTGGAAATAAGTGCTTGCACTTTCGTAGGTTATCCTTGACCACCCGGTCTAAAGAAAATCACCCAGTTACCACTGGTTAACTCCTATCAAATTTAGGACTTAACTCGTTACTGCACTAAGGTGACGGTATGTGGTGTTAAGGCTCATCTGATTAAAACTGTTTTCATAAATATTTAAAGTATGATGACAACAGCACAGCGATCATTTAAGCTCAACCTTTTCTTCAAAATGGACGAGCTAAAAATAGGGACATAAAATAATATAGGGGAAAAAAATTCTTTCAGGTGCAAAGTAATCTCAGATATCTATATTTTAAGAATGAATTTCATCTTATCTTAAAATTTGGTAGTTGAACCTTCAACACTTTGTTACATAATTATGAAGTTATGTTTAACTAAAAGATGGGTGGAAAAACAGAATAAAGACATACACAAGTTAAATGAAAAGAAAAAAGAAAGAAATGACAGATAAGAATGATACAAGCAATAAAATGGTTAAGAGACAAAGTGTTGTAAAGAAATCATGATGAATTTATAACAACAGGGACTAGTTTACACTATCAACATACATGCCACTTTCACACAAATGTAAGACGCATTCAGCACTGAAAATATCAGTGCCCTATTCCATTCAGAAATTCAATTTTACCTAGCACATGTATAACACATTTGTTTGGAATAATACATGAAATATGTGGAGAAATATTGTCTGATAAAAGTATATGATTGATATAAAACATCTTAGAGGATTTATCTTGTAGCTAGCTGCCAGAAATAATGGTCCCAAACTTGAGCATTAACATACAAAATTAAAATTGTTTACCATTTTGTAAACCATTTCAGTAAAAACATCCAAACCACATAAAAAAAGAGTCTCCTAAACAATAAACATTAACAATGTAAAATACATTGAAAACATAAGAAACTTCCCATATCTTTATTTTTTACTATTTTTGAGCTAAAATGCTTGATAATCTGTTAAATCAATATTCTAATTATTGTATTTACCGATAATTTTTCATAAAAGTGATGATGATAATAACATTCATCATCAAAACATAAAATAGAAAACAAAAGCCCAATTTGACATCAAAATACTTGGAGAAAATAATAAAATCAAAGTGATGTAAATTGGAATCCAATAAAAAAAATACTTTGCATGAAATGATTGATGAAAAATAGATGATGCTTGCTTTTCTGTATATTTTAAAGAAAAATTACTTATATATACATTTTTTTCACATTTAATTTGGAATTAACAAATGATTAAGGAAAACATGCAAAAAAAGGAGAGCAATTTTATGCATATTATGGTACAAAAACACATGGAAATAGAACAATGTGGAATAAAATATACATACAGATGAGATGAATGAAGAGAAAACAAAAACAAAAAAAAAACCACTTAAATTTTCAAAGTTCATAATTATTCTTAAGTATGAGACATACACATAATTATATCATTGACCTACATCAAAAATGTAGATTACAAATATGCAACTCAACTCAGTTTCTTGTTTCCTTTTAGTATAGAGCATTTTTTTCACCTCACCTTTGATGGCAAATGGCAAGAAATATATATAGTAGCATACAATTTTAACCCTTTCATAGCATTCAAAACACGACATCTGTGTTAAACAGATACTGATATATTTATTATGTTTAATGGTATTTTAAATTAAATGATTGGTTTGAGGATGGAAAAATAGTTTAGTTTTCTATAATGCATCAGACAATTTTGTAACCAAGGCCTACCTGCCTCCTGGGAAGGGCATGGAAAATGTGTGTTTCTTCTGTTCCAGCACTACCTGGTCAATGCAGTAGGCTGAGTAGCTTTGTTTTGGTGCCAAAATAGCCAGTGATATGTCCAAATCATATGGCCGGTGGCCAGGCTTTGAGTTGGTATTTTACAATCTGTCTCCACACAGCTTTGCCTCGCCAGTGTTAAATCCAAGGCAAACCATGCTATTCACACAAAGGGTGGAAGGACTTTGGTTACAACTGACAGGTGCATTACTCATTTCATTTCTTCTACATAATCATTATATTGAAGTAAAAAATAAACAACCATCTGTTATAATAAAGTCCTGTAATTCTTGGCCATGTAAGAATATCAAGTTTTAAATTATCATTACAGATAAAACAGATAAGCACATGTACAACAATGACTCTATATTAAATGTATTTGTAATAGAACAATATGTAATTGTATTTGTAATAGAAAAATGAAAAAATATATATCAAGGTAAATTTTCTACTTAAAAGCAGAGACACCTAGTTCCCCAATACTAAAATAGTCACAAGCAAACCAAATAGAAATCATATGTTGACTTTCTGTAAGGTATAGCTGGACAGCTACCTCACAAGAAAGAATCGTTGTTTCTCACAAATTCAACCAATTAGTGACAACTCCAAGTGAGTGACTGGCACCACTCAGCTTTGAAGGCCCCTTCAATAATTGTTATATACATGTTATAAATACAACTACTTGGCAGTGGTAATATTGTTCTGGCAATATTAAAATGCTTCTGTATAAAATTCAAAGCTCAAAACGATTTCAACTTCCTATTAAAAAGCAGTATATATATATGTAAAATGTAAAATCTGAATAAAATGCAAGCAATAAAATGAACACTCCACATAAGTCCTGAGAGATCAGTATTGAAATTTATAAATATAACTTGGATCGAACACATAATTGTACCCTTTTTTTCTGAATTCACAAAAAAGTATTCTTCCTCTAGTTTTGTATCACATCTGTTTGGTATAGCTCTTAATTGTCTAGCAATAACTCACAGCTTTCTCTAAAGAAATGTTGCATGTTTAGGATTGATTTTGATTTATGAATGGTCATTTTAAAATGTGCTATAACACACAAAGAAATGTCCAAAGGAAAAAAATCACTATGTCCTGAGACTATATTTGTATACGAGTGTTTCCTTCTCAGTATGAATTCCTTTTCAATAGTTTTCCTTAACACATCACTTTCGGCTAGCAATCTTAAAGTCAATCTTGAAAATTACTTTCACATATCTATGTATACTGACATAACACACAACTCGCTCCAAAGACAAACTAAGCCACAACATTCAGTGAGAAATATTCTACATTTCACAGATTTTAAGTCTGATATGAGGTCTATTTCACACACTAAGTCAGGTTTTTATCATGCACTTACGCCACACAAAATTTCCTGTCTTTTCTCTTCATAAATACGAGTCATTTGCTGGTACTCATTATTTGCATCTAAAACCTGTAAAATAAGGTAAATCAGGTTTCATCATAAGTCAAAATAGATTATTTTTTTCATGGATCATACTGTTGCCACTCTGACCAATGGAGTGATATAATTTGCATTAGGTCCGGAGCAAGTCTTTTCAATCAGCAGAAAGGTATATTAAAAGCCTTCCAGTATGCTGGAATCAGAACCTATTTACTCTATGAATAACTGCCAACATCATTACCCTTTTACAGTCAGTGAGACAACACAACACTCTACAGTATATTAAAAGAATGAAAGTATGAAAGTAACTTACTAATACAGGGGCTGGTAGTTTACCACAGCTTTGTCTAACTAGCCATTCCTCATGTAGATTATGTAAATCCTCTATCAATTTCTGAGAAAAGAAATATAGAGGAATTGAAAAACTTTAGTCTACACTGTAAGCAACTATTTATTAATACATTCACAATAAACCATTATCTACTTATCAAATTTGACAACATTTCAAAAGATATTTAAAACATAGAGAAATTTATATACATGTACTTACATAAGGTACTCCAGCTTCCTCTTTTCGAGATCTTTTCTTAATACGTTCATAACAAACCTTGGGGTCAGCCCTCAAGTAAACTGTATAAAAAAATGTACAAAAATAAAGAATGTTATAATTTTTACTTTAAAATTTCCTGAAAGAAACCCTCTTCAAGCAGGAAAACCTCTTTAATATCTTACTGAAATGCTTGCAAAATAAAATATGTAACACTTATATTGTTGTTGACAAACTTTGTCTTAATTGAAATGATGTGAAATTCCCCTATCTGAGAGTCCCTTGCCCCAGTAAAATACTAAGGGCCCCGAACTCTTAATGCACAGGAATTTACTACAAAATTAAATACAGTGATTTTCCTGCTTATATAACAGACTCCAATAAAAGGCTTCTTCCCAATTGAAATTTTCTTTCAGCATGCAGTTTTCCCAAAAATCTGAACTTAAACCTGCTTTTTTACTTCCCAAATCAGCAATTTTAGCAATATTTTCCCCAAAATCAAGTGGCTAAGGCCTCTTCCCAATAAAGTGAGAAAAATCACTGAAATATCTTGTTATTAAAGATCATATCAAATTCAAATTTAGAAGAGTGCAACTATTATGGTTTTTACAGCTTTACACAAACTTTAAATAATAACATAACCTTGGTTAAGGGAGATAATTGTAAGAAACTTACCAATAAGATCTACTCCAGTGCCAGGCATTTCAGTCAGATACTCGAACCATTTGTTCAATATTTCATACTCCAAACCATTTATTGTCTCACTGAAATTTTACATACATTATACATTTTATATCCACATATAAAGATGATTTACCAATAATATGCTACATTTTTATAATGCTTTGTTTCTAGAGCAGTCCGACAGTTCTCAATATGAGGGACAATTCTGATTTTCATAACAAAATGCTTAAATAACTTAATTATTAGCAGCTAACATTTCTGTCTGGTCAGACAGCATGCATGTTCCACCTAACCTTTAACTGGTGGGAAAGGTCAGTTATCATAGCCAGTAGATGAAGCATGTCTTTTTTAAACCTTGAATATCAAATAAGAAGAACTTTACAAAATCTTTAAACTTCAGTCTTCTAAGAACTTAAACAAGAGCTGTCAGAAGGACAGCGCGCTCGACTTTTTTAGTGCTTGCCTATAAAACAAAACTTTGACAGTTAAGGGCACACAAGACTTTAACTAGGAATTTCTAAGTACAAATCAAGAAACATTTTCACAGAGTTATCTTCTCTTGCTTACAGATAGGTCTCATGATGGCACATAAGAACTCCAACTTCCAAAGTAATATCTCAAATGGTTAAGTCAACAAGTGGACAAGAATGAAAATCTTAACTGAGTTTCTAAGTGAAAAAGGGCCATAATTCAAATAAAATCCTTAACAGAATTACCTTCTCCTGCCCATGTTTTGGGACCATGATGGTAAACAAGTATTCCAACTTTCAAATTAATATCTCAAACAGTTCAGTCAAAAAGTGGACTGGTACTAAAAACTTAACCAAGATTCTAAGTCGATAAAAGGCCTTAATTTTTAAAACAAATCCTTGACAGAGTTACCTTCTCTTGCATACAGATGGGGGTAATGATGTGAAATAGCATTAAAAGTTTCAAAGCAATATCTCAAAGGGTTAAGGCAATAAGTGGATTTGACCCATATTCAATGTATTTTCTAAGTCAAAAAAGGGGCATTAATTCTGTCAAAAACCTTGACAGAGTTATGTCTCTTGTCTGTTGATGAAGGTCGTGATGGTAAACAAGTATGGTCAGTTTCAAAGCAATACCTCCAATGGTTTTGAAATAAAGTGAGGTGGTACAAAAAACTTAACCAAGCTCAATACACTTTCTAAGTCAAAAAAGGGCCATAATTCTGTCAAAAACCTTGACAGAGTTATGTACTCTTGTCTGTAGATGGAGGTTATGATGGTGAACAAGTATGGTAAGTTTCAAAGCCATACTTGTAATACTTCTGAAATAAAGTGGGGTGGTACGAAAAACTTAACCAAGGTGTGACGCCAACGCTAACGCCGACGCCGACGCCGGGGCGAGTAGGATAGCTCCCCTTTTCATAGAAAAGTCGAGCTAAAAATCAAAGTGTGAAAAATGTTGTATTGTAACAAGAAATACAATACACAACAAAACAAATAGTCAAACATTTTAGCTGGTGTTTATCATTCTTTAAAATAATTTTATACTCTTATTCAAAGAAATATTTTAATACTTACTTTCTGTAATCATTTTCAACAAAACAGTGTCTTGTACTAAATAAGGACCTTTCTAGCATTTTGACCTGCTTATTCTGTGAATGAAAGTAAAGTGAGAACAATGTAATGCCTATAAATGTTTAAATACAATAGAAATTATTTATAAGGTAAAGAGAAAATCCTTATGTTGCAAATACATATATCTTTTTGCTTATAGAAAGGTTCTCAAAGTGAAAGAATACTAAACATCTGTAAAAAATCTATTCCATACATTTTCCATAACCATGCCTTAAGGATGTAATACCTACAACCCTAAGCATCCGGTCTGAACTGCATAAGCAACTCAAGGTTACTGGTATTGCCAGGTTTCATTCAAGGCAATGCAATACACAAACTCATTAACTGTGATAAATAAGGAAACTGTCCTCTGAGAAGAGTACACCTCTAATCCACTGCAAGGAATCTGGTAGGGGACTAACAATTAAGAATCACAGCATATGGTATTCTGTATAAATAATAATCTACTTACATGTGGTTTTGTATGCATCTGGACCCTGGTAAGCTGAGCATATATGTTAAATGAAAAACTCCATCTGGATGGATCTTCATATAACAGTTGCTGCAACAGAAAAAAAATACATCTATTAAATGACCATACTCTACAGCTTTAATTTTATTTCCTGTTAAAATTATCATTGTTCTGCAAGATTATTGAAATGTTACAATGCTTAAAAGTAAGTGGTAAATTTCAAATATAAATCTTAACAGAATAATTTATTAAATCAGATCCTTATCAAGAAGGTTTTTCAATTGTTATAGTCATCTTGAAGATGCTTGAACTAGACCGTTGTATCTTGTTATGACAAAGTGCAATGTGTACAGCTTGGAAATAATTCAATAAACAGTAATAATCAGATAATAAATACATGGGTGCAAGTTAAAATTTTTTAAAAACCTGAACTATATGTTTGGGGGCCAGGGGGCCGCAAGGGCCCCCGGTGGGTACAAGGCAACGCCCGGCCAGGGGTCCAGGGGGCCGGAGGCCCCCGGAAGCTCCTGCATTATAGCACATTTGAAGGCCTAAAATGCAATTCCCTTGAATGATTACATGCCAGATAACATACATACTGTAGTAAAGTATTTTCACTTAAATCTTGCTCACATAAGTATTTTCTTCTTTTCTCTCTCTTTTTCTTAATTATATAAACTAAAACATTTCAACACAAAAAGAAATGTGCATTCATATATTGTTTCCACTATTTAATATTGTGGTTCCAACTGTAAAGAGTGATAAAACAAACCAATATATAAACTAGAACTGCCACTATCATGGCGTGAATACCCCCGCATACCACTTTGTCAGAATCAACAGTGGCCATTTAGAGCTCAAGGACAACCTCCCTGCCAAATCTGAGGTGACTAAGCCAGTGCATTGCTAAGTTATGTATTCTACATGCTTCAAATGTGAAAATGTCAAAATCAATACATTGCGGACAGGACATTCTTTAGCAATTGAGAAGAAAAGCTTTTTTTTTGTCAAGGTCCCTGTGACCTTGACCTTTGACCCAGTGACCTCAAAATCAATAGGGGTCACCTTATAGTCATGATCAACATCCATACCAAATATGAAGACTGTGGGTCAAAGGAATCTTAAGTTAATGGGTGGACAAACTTTTTGAAGTCAAAGTCCCTATGACCTTGACCTTTGATCCAGTGACCTCAAAATCAAAAGGGGTCATCTACTAATCATGATCAACATCCATGTCAAATATGAAGACTGTGGGTCAAAGGAATCTAAAGTTATTGGGCAGATAACGTTTTTGAAGTCAAAGTCCCTGTGACCTTGACCTTTGACCTGGTGACCTCAAAATCAATAGAGGTCATCTACTGATCATGACTAACCTCCATGCCAAATATGGCGACTGTAGGTCAAAGGAATCTTAAGTTATTGGGCGGACAAGCTTTTTGAAGTCAAGGCCCCTGTGACCTTGACCTTTGACCTGGTGACCTCAAAATCAATAGGGGTCATCTACTAATCATGACTAACCTCCATGCCAAATATAAAGACTAAGGGTCAAAGGAATCTTAAGTTATTGGGCGGACAAGCTTTTTTAAGTCAAGGCCCCTGTGACCTTGACCTTTGACCTAGTGACCTCAAAATCAATGGGGGTCATCTACTAATCATGACTAACCTCCATGCCAAATATGAAGACTAAGGGTCAAAGGAATCTTAAGTTATTGGGCAGACAAGCTTTTTTAAGTCAAGGCCCCTGTGACCTTGACCTTTGACCTAGTGACCTCAAAATCAATAGGGGTCATCTACTTATCATGACTAACCTCCATGCCAAATATGACGACTGTAGGTCAAAGGAATCTTAAGTTATTGGGCGGACAAGCTTTTTGAAGTCAAGGCCCCTGTGACCTTGACCTTTGACCTAGTGACCTCAAAATCAATAGGGGTCATCTACTTATCATGACTAACCTCCATGCCAAATATGACGACTGTAGGTCAAAGGAATCTTAAGTTATTGGGCGGACAAGCTTTTTGAAGTCAAGGCCCCTGTGACCTTGACCTTTGACCTAGTGACCTCAAAATCAATAGGGGTCATCTACTAATCATGACTAACCTCCATGCCAAATATGAAGACTAAGGGTCAAAGGAATCTTAAGTTATTGGGCGGACAAGCTTTTTTGAAGTCAAGGCCCCTGTGACCTTGACCTTTGACCTAGTGACCTCAAAATCAATAGGGGTCATCTACTTATCATGACTAACCTCCATGCCAAATATGACGACTGTAGGTCAAAGGAATCTTAAGTTATTGGGCGGACAAGCTTTTTTGAAGTCAAGGCCCCTGTGACCTTGACCTTTGACCTAGTGACCTCAAAATCAATAGGGGTCATCTACTAATCATGACTAACCTTCATGCCAAATATGAAGACTAAGGGTCAAAGGAATCTTAAGTTATTGGCGGACAAGCTTTTTGAAGTCAAGGCCCCTGTGACCTTGACCTTTGACCTAGTGACCTCAAATCAATAGGGGTCATCTACTTATCATGACTAACCTCCATGCCAAATATGAAGACTAAGGGTCAAAGGAATCTTAAGTTATTGGGCGGACAAGAAAAAACCGACGGCCGGACGGACGGCCGGACGGACGGCCGGACGGACAAGCTGATTCCAGTATACCCCCCTTACAACTTTGTTGTGCGGGGGTATAATAAATTGAAAATTGAGTTGATTTGTACCGAGTTTACGTTTTAATTAGGGCTGAGCTGACCCTGATTCCATACAAACAATAAATTGTTTTCAAAAAAAGATAATTAAAACAAGCCTGGTTATGTTTCACAGTAAGTTTGTTTTTCATATGGTTTGGATCGTCTGCGTACATTTAATTCTTTTTTCCCCGCTGGATCCATACTTGAGCTACGCCGGGAACGTCACGTCTGGCTTTTCCAGCCAGTTTCCGTAGTTATCCCGTTTCGATCACATACAGACAACCATTCCCATCTCCATTTATTTTTTGAGGTCTTCTCGATATCTTTTGTATTAAATCCTTCGTGTAGAAACTTCATTTTGACTAACAAATTGTACAATTACTTTCTGTTTACATATTACTCTGTAGCCGAATCGGTAACGAAGCCGCTTTTTCATTGGATGATTATAATTAGCGCGCCAATCTAAATCGTTGTAATAAATTCACGGATAAAATTGCATGCCGGGATTAATAATACATGTTTTCGTAAACATCTCGTATATCTTCGGAAACTATCGGCAGTTTCCGCGAAAGTTTACTATTGAGGCTTCGAGAACAACCGTGAGCATCCGTTTGTTACATAGCGTTCTCGATTATGAACTTCTAATCGGTGGTACTTCTCAGTTTGAAAGAGTAGACCCGCACCATACCCCTCCAAATATCTCAACGGATTTACGTGATTTGCAAAAATGATCCCTCCGGCACGTGAAAAACCGGAACTTCCGGCACATGCCGGAAAACTTGCACCCATGTAAATAAACATTTAATTCAATCATCTAATCATGGCTGTTCTCTGCAAATCAAAATACTATCCTGTGCACAGGTATCTTCACTATTAATCAACAAACAAAAAATAAACACAAATTTACTCTTACCAATGCATTATGTCCCTGTACATTTGTCCATTGACTTACTGGCTCTTTTATTGCCTGAAACATGCCGTACAATTTAATTATCACTCTAATGAAAGAATAATAGATTAATTAAGCTGTCAGATTTAAAAATCTAAGGAAGTTATAAGAACCTTTAAAACATCTTTTTTTAAATACAGCACTTCATCATGGTCTTTGAATCTATTTACTGATAAACAATCATAGATCCATGTTGAAACAGAAGATAACATATTGATGTTAAAATAGACTTGTGTTTCAGAACCATGTGTCCATTGCCAACAGCACCTTGTAGCTCCTGATTTTATGCAACCTTAGGCCATTCATGCATTTAATCATTGAATGTACATATTTCTTTTCCTAACTTAAATGGTTTTCATACTAAAAATTCTGAAAACTAGCTGGAGACAGTATCAGGCCAAACCACAGAGCCGTGCAGACTGGTCTTTATATAGACTGCATAACTTCTGACGATATCAATGGCAGTGTTACTATACCTCAACAACTTTGGAAGACTTGAAATACTCTAGTAGAGTGGTTTTGCCACATCCTATATTACCCTCAATAGAGACCTGAATAAAAATATGAGAAAAATGTGTAACATTTAGGTATACATTTTTTAGGAAGAAGTATTTTAAAATTGATTTATCTCAATAATGGTTGAAAGAATGCAAACATTAAATAAATAGTTCATGTGTTTTTTTGTACATAATAAAGTAACAACCATAATCTTTTAAAATATACATGTGAAGTTGATGCTTTGTGGTTATATCATGTAATAGAAAAAAAGAGGCCTGTAACTGTATACCAAATAAGACTCAACAAAACAATAACATGTACAATGTCATACCAATGGAGTAAATGTACTTACTGTATATTTACTTCCAGGCTTCAGTGGAATCTGGATATTTTCTTCATTGAGCACTGAAATGTGAAATTTAAAGTTCAAAGATGTTTCAGTCATTGCACTGGAACTTGAAATTCTGTCAATAATAGCAGTTACATCTGATTCGAAAAAAAAAATCCAATCCCTCTTTAGTGTTTTTATTTGGGATGTTCTTTAAAGTCATGCAGTTTTCCCAAAAAACTGAATATAAATCTTCATAACTTTATAACTTCCCAAGTTAGCATCTGTAGTAGAGTGGGCGGACCATCGCTCGGCGTAAAAATACTATATTTAGTGATTATTCTAGACTTGAAAAAGGGGCAGGGAGGCATCAAAAAGAGGCAGGGTGGAAAATGTGTCAATACAGATAGTTTATGACCGTTATGATAATCATGGTCAGATAACTCATATCTTATCAGTAGATTTATTACCTCCCTTTATCTCAACACTTTCTGGTTACTTGGTTTAGTGTGTTGTTTATTTTCTATATTTATGGTGATAGTGTCAATAGTGTGCATCAGCTTCTTATGATTCACAGAAATGATAAATACCTAGAGAACTGTTAAAAAGTGGCACAGCTTAAAACCAAGACAGATAAACTAAGAACTGTTTGTGACTGAAATAATAGCTGCATGTACCTCAAGAAGGTGAATAGTTCTGTATGCCACCCTGGCAAAAAAGTGATTTTCTCATGACTGTCCTCTGTCCTATTTTTATAGATTTAAAGCTCATGGAAATTATATTTGAATGAAAGAATTGTACTGTCTGTATATATTTGTATCAATGACTTTATTGCAGGGCTACATTTACAGTGTCACATTTTATGTAAATTTTAAGGTTTCATGTTAAAAACTTTCATAACTTGGAATTTGTTTCATTATTTGAATCTGTGCTTTGAGCAGTGATAATTGGTTCGTTACTTTAGGTCACTCTGTAATAATATTGAAAGACTGGTTAATTTTCTAATTAAATTTGGGTTATAAAACAATTTCAAGTTATTGAAATTACTTCAGTCATCTTTTATATTTCACAATAACAGTCACATTTAGCTAAAAAAAATTATCATGTACTGTACTCTGTACAGAGATGTTCAAAGAAAAACCAACGATTTTATCTTTATAAAGTAAATCTAATTTCGAATTGATTGAAATTGATTACAAATTGTCATTATCTTGCAATTTATAATTATTTTTCACATATGATTTTACAGGTGACTAATAGATTCTAACTGTAGTTGTTACTGTACTATTTCATAAAAAAATCTCCCGACTTTCAACCGCAGAAAAACGGTTAATCTGTAGATTAATAATTCATTCAATTCATTAAAATGTCTTACAGCTAGAGACAAATATTCGCTTACTCATAATTGTCTTTGTTTATTTTCTGTAAAATTACCGTACGATTAGTCTAAACAGTCTATGTAACGAACGGCTTGCAGTACGGCAGTACAGGACCGTACTTCAGTCCAGGGCCGTACTGCTAGTGTAGTGGCTTCGTACACAAATTATTTCATTCACCTCCTTTTATATAAATGTTGAATTGCAAGGGAGAAACACATTTAAAATCGATTCTTAGCAAATGTAAATAACTTTTATCGTACCTTTCTTTAGCTCCAAAAAAGAGGAAATACTGTGGTTTGTTTTGCGAATTTTCGCACGCTCTTTTTCAATTTCTGCAAATTTCCTTTTCGCAGACGGCATTTTGTTTCTCAAATGAACAACTAATTAATGAAACCATAACACCCATCCTTATGACTTTAAAGATTCTTTACGCAATTATAGAGATTAATATGTGTAAATAATTAATTGTAATTACCTGTACTTGTAAGTTGTACATTATACGAATTTTTACCGACATACAAACAAATAAGCGAATGCATTACAATTCGATTGTGTCCGTAAATCATTGCCATTTTAATCAGTTAATGACCACGGATTATCAATCAGTCGGTAATGTTCCTTACAAATCATTTCAAACTGTTGCAAACATAGCTAATTTGATCGAAACCACTTCACACGGGGCCGCTTCACACGGCCCACTTCACATCGGTCAGTCAATTGTTATCGCCGTGGGGCACCAGGTTTGTATATTGGAACGTGTCAACATCATAATCTTATCTTATAGATAAGTGATTGACAGGTTTTTTATGTAGATCTATCTTATACATATTGATTGGGTACAGGTAAAAGAGGGCAGCGGGGCGCATTTCAGTATACGGGCGGTGTTTAGAGGCAAAAGGGCGGACCTAAAAAGGGGCAGGGCGGAGCGCCCTGTCATTCCGCGCTAGAATAATCACTAATATTTGATATGGCAAATTCAAATCAACAAACCTCAATGTTATATGTCCATTTTCAAGACCGATGATATTGTTTTAAATAGCCATTGTGTAAAATTCGCTAATCACATAATGATGTGCATGGCTGGAGCTACAGATAGTCCGGATAAACAAGAGTGGTTTGCGTGAAATTGTACCATAGCTCGGCGTACAATACAACATGATGCAGGATTGTTTTTCGAATAAAATCTCTTTTTTATCGTATGAAGAAAACATATTGAATAAATTGTAATAATTAAATTAGGTTCATACATTTACAAGTACCCAACTTTTAGTTTAAATTTTACAGCCCCAAAACTATAGTGTTAAAAGATTTTAATAATTTATATGTTGGGGATTACATACGGTTGTTCGTCTGCTATTAGCATTGTCACGTGACTTTACCAGCAGTGAACCCACACCAGCCAGACTAGGATAAAATGGTGAAAGATGTAAATAAAAGCACCAGTGACCTAAATCGGAGATAACTAGAGACATTTTCAGATATTCTAAAAAAAATATTTTTACGCCGAGCATTGGTATGCGCCGAGCATTGGTCCAACCACTCTAGTTATTTCCCCCCATATCAAGAGGTTAAGGCCTCTTCCCAATTAAGGGAGATGTTCAGTCAGAAAGAAAACAATTAGATATTTCTTTCTAAACATCGAACTTATTATTAAATGTATAGACCTGCCAAATTCATTCAACATAGCGAATCATGGCCGCCTGTGGATAATGAAATTGCTTTTTCAAACATTGACCCAGATTGGCCAGAATGCAGACAATATCCACAAAACAACTAGATCTATCTATTCATCTGAATAAAAAGAACTTGATCTAGATCTATATAGCAAAATAAATTATTACTTAGTATGTTACACTTACAAAAGACTTAGTGAATCTGCCTTGATAATTCAAGAACTTTCAAATCCATAAAAGTTAAAAGCCATTGACATGACCAAAATTTTTTTCTGATTTAACAATAAAATCAACAAAATCATTATATTTTTCATGACTTACCTTTAGATCTAAGTTTCTTCAGTTGATTGGACCCCAACATTTCTTCAGCACTTGAGTGGAAAGACCTTGTCCAGAAATTTTTTCTACACTTCTTTGTGGCTGTAATCCTGGCGCGTTGTGTATTCCCACCAAAAGATCTTGTAAATGCCGCCAATGTGTATGACCCGAAGGTCGCTCGAATTGATTGGATAGACAATACACACATTGCGCCATCTATCAACACACCCAAGGGAGATAATTTAGCAGGTATCTAATTAACTGATTAATTTGAGTTTATCAGTTAGAAAATCAGCAAAAGACTAAGTGATCATTTTTCAGAAACCGAGTTAATAAAAAACCGGTCTTGATTCTAAATACAATAAATAATACAATATCACTATCAGATTGTAAGGTCAGCAATATTTAAAATACCCGTTCACCATGTGCATAGTATAGTTCTGCAAAGTCAGCATCTCAGCATCATTACATTTCATTACAGTAGTTCCATGTCTGATTTATTCCACAATGTTAAATCACTGGTGGAGGCTCTCATCCTTTTCAAGTGGCATAATTATCACTCTTTAATGCTTGGAGTCCATTACTTTCATTTTTCACATCTTCTCGGACTAAGAGTACAGGTTGTCTCCCTTGCACGGTTGACTGTCACAAAAAGGTCACATGTCAATTCACCATTATACTCCGCCCACCGTGAAATTTTCTCACGCTCCGATTGGTTACTTTGGGACAGGCCGTCTCAGGTGAGTTGACCTCAGTACACAATTATGGTAACTTACGTGTAAAAGTGAAACGTAAATGTTTACGGAAGTTGTCTTAATTTACATAATTGTGAGTAAACAATAAATGTGAAAATGCATTTGCATTTATAGTTAAATGAAATATATACATACATATATTTTATATACTATAATTTGTGTAATGAGTGAATAGGTAATTTGTAGTGATTTGATTTATAAAGTGCCTTGGCATAAGATATAAATATCCTATTTTAGTTTTACAAGAGAAAATCAATAATCGGATGTAAAAGATTTACTTGTCAAATCGACCTAGTGACAACGATTTGCTTTTTTTCAGTCTTGTAAAGATAGGAGAAATTTGTCTGTCAATTTGTGTGTTGGATTTTAATTGGGAACATGTAGGAAATTAATAAGTTATGGGCACTTGTCTGAGTTTAGATCAAGAGGAACTGAAGGCTCGAGCCCGGAGTGCTGAAATAGATAGACGGATCCAGACATGGGCTAAAGAGGAAGGGAACACTATAAAAATTCTGCTTTTAGGTAAGCCTCAACATTGAACAAATAATAGTAATATGTGTATAAAAAGTTTTTTTCCAGACATTAAACGTTGATCTATTGGCACATAATTTAGAGATGTCACTCACTAATTGTGATGAAGTTTGATGAAGAGTTATAATTATAATACATTTTAATGTTAACATGACATTAATTAATATTGTGAGAAAAGTTTTAATTTTATCTGTAAAGCAGTAATTATATACAGCATCCACTTATGAAATAATGTTACTTTTTTTGTTAAACAAAAGAAAGAAAAGAAATCTCAATTAAGTCTGGATTTATTTGCTTTGATTCATCATCACTCAGTACATATGTATAATGTTACATAGAATATAATTGAAATATACAAAAGATGTATTCATTGAGAAGATAAACAGGACAAATGTGTATCAAATCTCCATACCTAGAGGGTCCAGATTTAACAACAAGGTTTGTTAATGCATGTGTTAGGTCCTATTTATTGACAAGCTTCATAGTGACATGAAGCATAATTATCAAAATAGAAATGAGCTATGATAATCATCTTACAACACTAAAGGTGTATTTTCTATGATCACCTCAGCCACAGGCACATGGTATGACCATTAAAATGTATGGAATGTGATGAAAATATATGATATGAGGGATTGTCCTTTTTTTTCAAAAACTGAAATGTATTATATTACATTTTAAAACTGCAGTATCCTGCTAAATTCAATGGAATTGTCTTATAATTTAAGGGCTATCAGTACCAGTATTTAAAAAATCAGGGTTTAGCTGGCACATAGAAACAGTTACATTGGTTACATGCAAAAGAAAATCATCATCACCTGTATCATTCAGTTGTTTTTAGCTAAGTTTTATGTCAGCATTGTTAAACTCACATGGTGGTGGTGTTGGTAGTTTTCACTCCAGATCACTGCAGTAAGCCACATTGAATTAACCAGAGCACAGTTCAGCCACCGCATTGTTCCTGGGCAGGATGTCAAGCAGTTTAATGCCTTCATTTCCACAAGGAACTGAAACTTCTGTACATGCGAGTACAGAGGTACAGTGCGAATGACCGTAGAAAATATTTCATCAATCAGAACAAAAGTGACCTGCGCTGTCCGGGAATTGAACCTGGGTCATCCGATTCACAGTGCAATTTCTGAGGTTTTTAAATACTGACCCATGGAGGAAGACCACAGGTGCTTTCTTTGTTGGACATTATTTTTTGATATCAGTTGGAACCTGAAACCTTCCTTAAACTTATTTTCAGGAAGTTATAATGTATGAAATGCTATGAAAATAATTATAAGACATTTATGGGATTGTACATTTCTTTTTAAAAACTAAATGTTTAGATCAATGATAATGGTGGGGATCAACAACCGAAACTGAACTTGAGACGGCCAGTACATTAGTAACATGGATGTGTTTTAAATCTTTAGAAATACATTTCTTTGAACTGAGACAGCTCATCCTATTTTCCTCATCAAAGACTTTCAACTTACTTCTGATTGCTACATGTGAAGAACTAATTATGATCAACTCAAGATTGTATATTTTAATAATTATGATCAACTCAAGATTGTATATGTTGTCAATAAATAAATATACATTGTATCTATTAAGGTGAATACTTTAATTAAAATATGACCTTTATTTTGAATGTCAGTTTTGTAAAAATGAGTATACATTAGATAAGTATAAATGGCGAAAAAAGTAAGATTTTTCAAGCCTTAAAACAAAGCCTTAAATTATAGATAGATATTTATGCAATAATCAAGCTTTAACAGTTATTAGTAATAAATTATCGTGGTGTTTTTTTTTAAAACCCCATGTTGTACGATATTATATCTTCTTGTACCTGGGTGAATAAAAGATATGTTCTGTTCTGTTCTAAATAGAGTAAATTTAATTAAAACTATTATTTGAGTATATGTCAGTATTATGATGTCAGAAAACATTTTTCTAAAAATAAACTATTTCAACATTTCAATGTTTTGTATGAAATATAAGCAGATGAATAAACATACAGAAATTACAATTTACACAATTTAAATGAATACTTAGAGGGAATTATTTCAATATATTAAATTCACTTAAGTCTATTATTATAAACATGTGATGAACTTTGCTGGCATGTGAAAAATGTTTTATTACCTATATGCTATTTATATTTCTTATTGAATTTGAATAGGAAAATTGAAAGTATTAACAAAAATATTTTAACTAGTTATTTATTGACTAATCAGTAAAATGACAATTATTCTAGTCTGTTGTAAGTAATGTGTTAATTAGTGTTTTGAATAGATAAATATTTTGCATACTCTGCTAAAATACAAAATGAAAATGTTTCTGATCCTGTCTTTAAATACACAATCTCAATTTATGTTATCATTAATAATCTGATTGATTTTGGTTTTACATTTGTTATAAAAATGACAAAATACATGGGAATTTTAATTAAATTATATACATTAGTCAAATTATGATATTTGTGATTGGTTTCAGAAAATGTAATATTATGACAGTACCTGCTTTATCATAGCCGCAAGTGATGTGAGTTCCTAACTGATATAAAGACTTGATACATGTACATATTACAACATCATCCAACTAATCGGCCCACCCTTAATTCTTATTAGTGCCATATTTAAAATGATTTCTGGGACATGACCAGTAACAGGTGATTCAATTTGCTACCTTTATCAATCATCTAAGAGGACATTTATAATAAAACTTTGTTTAATGCAAACTACTATATCTGATGACCAGAGTGAAAATTAAAAATTGAAAATAGATAAAGTAATGTTAAATATAAACCCTTTATTGGCTACACATTTGCAAAATTATTTTAAAAAAAATCTTCTTTGATTTAATCTGCTCTACCCATACAACCAGTGCAGACCAAGATAGCTGACTTAAAGCAGTGCCATCTGATCACAGTCTGCACTGTTTAATTACTGATATAAGTCAGTACTTGTTTTGAAAATTTCCCCAAAAATGATGAATGATTTTGTACAGACTGAAAGATGGACAAGTAGATTTTAGATATTTAGAGGGCGCAAGGATAAAGTTTTAATTTTGCACTACTGCTATGTTGTCTTAAATCAAATATAAGTTTTTCTTATAAGTCTGCATGACCTTACATGTTTGACTATATACTACAGACTTGTTGGATGTGACAATTAATTGTATAAATATTTTATAAAGGGATTATCACCTGATCTCATAGATTAAAAGATTAGCATCATGATCTTCTGACTTCTTCTATTAGATATAAATCCCCAACAAATATGTTGTCTTCTGCTTGTATTTTATATTTTGTTTTTCTCTCAATTAATTTCTTTACTTGTCTGGTTATGAAAATGGATATATTTGACTCTTAGATTTTAATCAATATGAATAAAGAATCTTCTGTGGGAATCTAAAAGCAATGTCAAACAATTTAATCATTGATTTGGTGGATCCTTGAAAATGTTAAGAGGTTGGCCTCAGCTTAAGATCCATGTACTAAGTACACCAATATTTTCTTTTTTTTTGTTACAAAAAATAGAAATTTTTATTTCCTTTTTAATTTTTTTTTACAAAAATAGAAAACTTTGCATTCAAGAAATATTACTTGTGTTTAAGAAATATAAAGCTTGAATATGTTTATAAATATATTTGAGGTATGAAAAGAAACAACAAATCTTGATCATTTATTAATGAAAGTTTAGTGATTCATTGAGGTAGTGAATTAATTATGCAGGTAATATTGCATTTATCATCATGATGATTACATAAGTTGTCTGTGTAGGTGAGAACTTTTGATCTTGCATGTCAGTTTTGTTGTCCGAACTGTCAGTATACCAATAAGTTATTGACAACTGGATACACATGTATCATGTACATCTATAATTACATATAAACCCCCTTAGGTTATACAATTTTACAATTTGTTTATGAAATGTGAATATAAATTAATTACAAGACACATTTAGTTACATGAAAATCCTAAAATAGAGATAAACAGAAAAATGTAAAGAATGAAAATGTTGTACTGGCTTCGTTTGATTATGCCTAAAAGTGAGTTAGTTTTCAATATGTGAGTAAGTATTCAATATACTTGCTACAGTCCTTAATAATAATTATAATTCACACCTATTATAAAGTATGTTTAAAACTTGAAGTAAGCATGATTATAAATATAAAAATTTACTAATATTTTGAATTCTGAGAAAACTGAAACATACATTAAGTGCACAATCCTTTCAAAAAACTTAAAACAGGATATATTATAGAGTATGAAAGTTACCTATTATCAGTATGAAAATGTTTTACAATTTACTTACAATATGGGTAATAAATAAAGAAAAATGATGTGAACTTATCCATATATTATGAAGTACGGTACATTGAATTTAACTGAAAAACGCAGACTATGTGATACGAAGAATACATTAATATGGGGAGATAGACATAATTATTTCAAATATATAAACATCAATGGAGCAAAACTGTTTTAAATGAGTGTTTTCATGATTTAATACACTTTTTTGACTGTCTGATTAAAATATGTAACTAAATAAACAGATTTATAGATTTGCACTTTATAAACAGATAGATTTTTTTACCTTAAGCCTTGTGCTATCAATAATGACTTACCACTGCCATGAATATGATCAGAGCCAGACCTGAGAATTAAATCATATCTAATAATTTTTCATGACTAGTCATGACCAATTTGCACCCCTGTTGAATTATCAGACTCTGACTTTAGGAAAGCATTAAAACCTCCAGAAAAGGCTTAGCACGTAGGGACAGTCAGATGCACAAGGAGTTGGACATACATCTCCTGCCATTTTGTTGCCAAAACTAAATCATGGCAGTACCTGGAGTGGGGGCAAGGGGGTTACATAGTCTCAATATTTGTACTGCAAGACTTACTGATTTTACAAACTGATATAACATATATGTCTGCAACGAGCAATTATAATCTTCTATATGGTGCACAATTTGCTTGGCTAGGGGGA